TCCCCGACGCCATAAACTATTACAACCACTTGGCTCATCAGATCTCATTATAAGCTCATTCCAACCATGAAACCTGGAGTGATTTTTTTTTATGTATCAACCTTCCACTCCACCAAAATAATTCCAGCCTACACATTATGGAGTTCCACACCATATGCCATGAAAATTCAACTTCTCAAAATTTATCTTGCTGAAATTTCATATTTTCAAAATTGACCATGACTAGTATTTGTCCTGTGAAGAATTTCAACACCAGATTTCTCTCATTGCTCCCAATCTTTGTGTAGATGATGGAAAAAATGACCATCTTTCAAACTTGAACCCTTTAAGTATACAGGCCCTTAAGAGAGCATTTTCATTAGTTCAATTGAAATTTAGGTTGGCAAACCCAGGTGAGAGGTCTGGGTTGGGTAACCTATTGGTGTTGAATGCATCCCCCCATCCTCCAGGTTAACCAGCCCCTGGAAGACTCTGCTTAAAAAATTTGGTTTGTGCAATTTCAAACTCAAAACTATCCTAACCAAACCACCCAAACCTGGTGCAGGTTAGTGACTGCAAGCCTGAAATAAAAACTTTGGACTACTAACCCATTGCTAACCTGTGAACAAGGTGAGTGCACAATCAGGCTTAGTTGGGTATACTTGCCTTAAACCAGTAATTCAACTGGACCAATGTGAATTCTCAAATCCCTCTGAATTTTCAAGTCAACCTCATTGCCTGAGAGGATTTGTAAGCTGGCATGTTTCAATCTTTTTTACACTTTGGGGAAACAAGATATGTACAAGATCAAGGAGCATATTTCCATACTTTCCTCATTTCTTTAGGGCCTTGAGTGGCACAAAACACTTGATGTTTCAACCAGAATTGTGAATCCAGGAAATGGGTTGAGGATAGATGACCATAGTACAGTGGACAGACAAGGAAACATGGCTGCTTCTGTTGGGTCCCAGAGCTTCAAAACACAAACTTGAAGTCATGAGATTTGGTCAGGTGGTGCATAATAGGTCTCAAAAAATGAGTACAAAAAATAAAATCAAACAACAAAGTTTCAAAATTTGTGAAAAATTAAAAATTAGATTGATTTTTTTCAAGAGCTTTGATATTCATTTTGGGGGATTGAGAGTGCTGAGAGAAAGAAAGATTGGGAGATCAGAAGAATGATAATAAATGAAAATCTTGTGAGAAATGGATTCCATATGGCTCCAAACAGCAGTTGAGTGGGGCATTCATCAACCCACATTGCAGTAATTTGTAAAGCACCAAAATTTACTGTTTTGACTCAAATCTGGCTCAAAATTTTTTGGTTCCACTTGTTTCATTTATAATCATCCTTAGCATGTTCCATTCTCCATTTCTCTCAGCACTCCCACTTTCCCAAAATGAATATCAAAGCTTCCCAAAAAAAACAATTTTGTTTTCATTTTTCACAAATTTTGGAACTTTGTTTTTTGTTTTCATTTTCCATATTCATTTTTTGGGACCTATTCTGCACCACTTGACCAAGGCTAACATTAGGGGGTATCAAATATAACCAAATCCACCATTATTTAATTGACTCGTTTGAAAAAATCCACCCTTTTTTAAACATGTTGGTTATCCATTTAACACCTTTTGGGGACCATTTCTGCAAAAAAAAGTTTTTGGAAAAGTGTCTGGTTTCTAATGGTGGATTTCCTATATTTGATACCCCCTATTATAAACACATTTGTGAGATTTTTTTCAAAACGTTTTGAAACCATGTTGAAATTTGTTTCTTTTATTTTTCTAGGAAATTGATGGCTCAATCAGTTTTCAAAACTGATTCAATAAAGGTGTGTAATCATAAACTCAAGCTCTGATTTAGCCCAAAATTCCCTGGTGGTTCTGACATTTGCAGACTTCTCTCCTCAGGACTCTAGTCAGCGGACTGGGGAAAGGAGCAACATCTGAGCCAAAAAGCTGAATTCAAGGTAGGACAGGAGAGTGCCACAGTATCAGCCACTATGCAAGGGGGGTGATGTGTTTTTCAGCACAAGGGTTCTGTAGCATTTATCCTAGTACACAGAACTGTACACAGACCTCTTGGCCGTTGCAAAAGATGAAAAATGTTCAAAATTAAAAAAAAAAATCAAACTCAAATTGGCCCTCCAAGCCAATTTGAGAAATTTTCGAGATAATTTGTAAGCAATGTTTTGTGAGATCAAATTCAAAACATTTTCAAAACATTTTGAAAAAAATCTCAAAAATGGGTTTGTAATTGTAGCCCAAGTCTTGTGAATTCAAGTTTGTGTTTCATAGATCTGGAATCCAAAATAAGCACCCACTTTTCACTGTCTACACGGCCGGGCAAGGAGAGCGTCAACAGGACCCCGTAGGGCGTAGTCCTGGACGCTCCAGTGACTGAGCAAGGGAGGGGTGTTGTGAGGGCGCAGTTTTGCAGGATCACTCCGCTGATCGACCTTGCGGCGTCAGGGGATTGCTGAGGTCGGCGCTGCAAGGGCGTCCTTCCAGGTCGCAGTGGTGAGTCATAGGGACACTCCTCACCGGTGATGCCGCCTTGAGCGGGCACAGCGTGGTTGGCCAAGCAAAAAAAAACAGCTGCCTGCACAGGGCTCGAACTTGCATCTGAACCTGGCAGCCGAAGCACACCAACATGAGCAAATCGGAACCTATGGAAGGAGGATCAACCGCTGGACCACCAGTCATTATAAAGCAGAGTCAGATTACCCACCTCATTCAATCCAGTCGTTTGCGCTAGTAATTTTGTCCCAACTTTTTTTTGCAAAGGTTTTTTTTTTCTTCCTAGAGAAATTTGTTCAGCCAGGCGTTCCAAGGAAACACTACCCTCTACACACATTTTGGGGAAGAAAAAATCATGATCGTTGTAGAGTGTCCCCAAGACGCAGTTGACTCGGGAACAACTTTGCAAGTGTCAACTTGCCGCCCTTGGGACCCAAGAGTCACTGGGTCGCACCGATTAGTGTTACACAAGCGCTTCAGTCCTACATTGTCATTGCGGCATTCTTTATGGTCAGAAGAGCTCTCCAAAGGTAAACCGTCCTGCAAGCGGTATCCAGAAGTTCAAACTTGCCCTGCCGTGTACCCACTGTCCAAAGAGCTAGGAGGAATTGGCCATCATAAAAATCCAAACAAAAATCATAATTCAGAGAGTGTGTGAGGCTTGTTTTAAAAAAATGGGGGCAACTTAGCCAAGTGCCTGCCTCCAGTCAGTTCAATGCAACCAGTGGTCTTCCACTCTGTGGCAGGAGGGAAGTACTTAGTCAAGCTAGAAGGCACAGGCCATAAGGTCACATCAGGGGGACGCGGTTTGAGGCAAAGCATGACTTCCATAGGCAGGTAAAGGCAGATTGGATGTCTATCAAAGGGTGATAATCAGTGAACCTTGCAGTATTTTAATTTCTCAATGGAGGACTTCCCTTCAACATCTGCGGGTCTCCCAGAATCGGTTTAGAGCCTTGAAAATCAAATTTCTCTGTGAGAATTAAGAGTTTTCAGGTCTAGATCGACTTCTGTGAGGGTCCCAGATCCGACAGGAAGTCCTCCAATGACCGAGGCCACCATCTAGAAGCTTCATGTCTAAATCACTGGTTCATACTGTCACTTGCTATTATCTCTCAAATTCAATGCTCAACTTTTTGACAAGTCCTATCACAAGGAAGTTCATTTGTCGTCCGGTCATCATTTGAAATGGAACAAAGAAAACAGAAAATTGAGATGCAAAGCCAGCATAAATGTTTGACTTTTTTCTCAACAAAATTTATTGTTCTCAGTGATGAGTCAATCAAAATAGGGGCGAAAAGGATGACTCGGCCTACCCCTGATACCGGTGGGTTGGGATGAAGGCCTCAAGTTGGACAAGACAGCGCAGTGCAGAAGGAGTGCACACTCAGCATGCTTGCCGTGCCTTCAGTACTAATTGATAATGTTGGTGATGTGACTTAAAATTTACCACTGTCCGGTACGGATTGCCGAAGCGCTGGAAAAGCCGCCAAGGCGAAGAAAGACACATACGATAATCTGAAGCATCGAATCGCCACAAACGTTATTGGACAGTTTGTATGGCCGTCGACTTGTTATCCATTGGACATGCTCGCCACGACGCTGATTGTAAGAGGACCCAAGAGAGCATAGCTTCTTTTGTAACTGTACTGCTGGCCTATCACCGGAGCGGCCTATATCGAAGCATTAAACATGTTGCCAAGACACATGGAGCATTAGTTATATCCATCAAGTTACAGTCGTCCACTGGGGTTTGCTCGTTGCGAGGCCGCGTGTTAGGGACTCCAAAAATATCTACATAGCTTGTACTGATGCGCCGTAAACGAGCCGACAAGACAAAGAAAGGCAGCACGCCCCTGGCCCACTTCACAGTCTTCAGCATTGGTCAAACAGGCAAGGACCTCAGCGAAATTACCACGAAATCGAAGACGCACGACTGCACGAGACCTGTCAAGTCCTATCCGCGGTTCATCGAGGTCGACAAGCGTGTTTGACGCGATGAGACTCAAGAGACCTGATTTTGTTGTTACCCTTCAAGACGGACGCTGCTTCCCCCGCCCGCCTCTGTCCCACATAAAGGCATTGATTAGCTTTAATACGGTGTGTTCCACTACATCTCTGACACTTTTTTCCCCAAAAGCAACGTTCGCAATATCGCTCATTTTATTTTATTCTCTCATTTCGCGCAAGAAATCTTTTAGATTTTGCTAGTTTGATTTATTGCCTTATTTCGCGTATATATTATTTTACGAGTCGCTCGTTTCTACAATCGTTGCTTTAAATCAAACACCGCAAAAAGTGACCAAGAGTGGGATGTTTCGTCATCTTGGCGCGTTGGTTTTCTCCAGCGCACTTTTGATGCTTATCACAAGGCAACATTGCGGTTCACGGTTGATCAGGCGAAGTCGAGGCAGCGAATTGTTTGAGATGGGTGGCAAGGGTGACGTGTGCGTTTCCAGATAAATATTTGAAGGACATTTTAAATTTTAACATTCTTGGATATGGCAAACTCTTTCTCTCAACAAACCAGATTTGCGCAGTAAGTCACATCTCAAGTCGGAACCGACAATGACAACAGCTAATGCGGAAAATTTGATTCCAACCTTGGTTTTTTCAATCAGTGATTCATCACAGATGCTTCAAACCAAGTACGTTTGGCAAACGAATCCACTTTTAAAACAGGCCATCTACAAAACAACAATAACAGCTTATCACATTTTCTCTCCAATTTTCGCCGCTCCGCGTGAATAGAGGATTGAATAGTGGGCAAGACAGGGGATTACATGTGTGAGTAAGCTTTGATGGAAATAATCCTTAATAGTTCAAATACTGACAACTCGTTTGAAATGTTTTGATTCAAATAGCCAGACACAGAATGGGCAGCGCACAAAAGCCCAGACTTTACCCGAAGAATCCCCACATCTTTCAGACTGGGTTCCATCTACAAAATCACAACTTCAAGGTGGATATATGTGAGCTGGTGTAGCAATAGACCGTTTGACATTACCCAAATGGAACACTCTGAATGATGTGAAAAATGGCATTCTTTTAGAACATTGCCGGAATATCGTGCTATTTCAATTCGAGTGCTGCACTCAGAGCCTAAAAGGGTGGAGTCTTTCCTTGAGCAATTTCGGTGAGTTAATTTTTTAGGAATGGATAATCATAGTTTATCAACAAATTGTAGCAACTCATTTACTCCTGAATTCATAATTGATTTTATACTCAACCAAACTCAATCCCAGAGCAACCAAAGTGATTGAAGATGCTAAAAATGATGGCCAGATTTTCAAGAGCTCAGACATAATCCGTGATCACATTAATTGGTCTATGAAGAATGATAAACAGTAGGTTGTTTTGAAACTTCTTTCTTTGGAAAAATACAAGATTTGATTGAAATTTTGTATCTTTTTGCATCAAGGAACTCCTATGTTAGACACTGGGAAACAGGCAAGTTCTCTATTAAGCAACTTACAGAAAAATTTCAAGGCAATTTCAATACTCTGTATGTTGTACCAACATCTCCCATAAATTAAAAAAGGGTAGCTGAATAAAATAAAATTCTATTTTCATAACAACTTAGCCATTTAAGTGATTATGTTGAGCTTCTGGCTCACAACCCAGAGTACCATAATGAAATGGAAAAATTCAGAAGTTTTGTATTGGAAGGAGGTGGATTTAATTACCAAGATTTCACTGGTAGTTCATGGGATTATAACTCAGTAAAAGAGATTTTTCAACAATGGAAGATACTCAAAAGTCCTAATTGGAAAGATTGTGAGTCAAGGAGAATCTCATTTTATGAAGATACCTGAGGGAATTCAGCTTCATGTACTGATGAAAACTATTTCATCTTGAATATGCTGCATTTTGAATTATTATTGAAAAAAAAATGTTGTGCTCACCCAAAAGCCCCAGAGACAAAAGGCAAATTAATGTAAGCTTCCGATTCTACCATGGAAAATGAAATTTCAAATCTGGGGTATTCAACAAATTTTGAATTGTAAATGTCCGCAGATCATTGGATGAATTTAAGAGGCGTTTGAAAAATAGTTTTGAATTTGAAGAAGAAATAATGAACATGATAGATAGAGACCCTTCATTGTATGTTTTTTTTTTTGAAAGTTTCACAGTTTTAAATTTTAATTCATGAATTGGAAATGATTACTTATTATTCATTCTTTTTGTTTTTGTGAAAAAGAAATAAAAAATACCTCAATTTTTATAGCCCATCTGCAAGAAAAGATTTGCTTTGGCTACCAAATTTGATTTCTTATACATTTTATTGGCTCAATAAAAATGATAAAATGTGATTTCTTTGACCAATTCACTCTTGATTTTTTGAGTCAATCAAAACTGATTTTTCTTTCTCCATCAAGGCCTGCTTCAATTTTGGAAAAGATTCAATCAGGAAAGACTCTTAAGGAAATTTCAAAAGAAGTTGAGCTAAGGTTCAATCAGATGTATGTACCTACTCATCATTCTGTTCACAATGTAGAAACAGCTTTAATACATAAATCAACTTCATAAATTGACTCACTCCATATAAAATATCAATAGGGAGCTTCATATGGGAAAAGACACCAGATCACAAGGGTAAGTACATGACATCTGTCATTCTCCTCAATCTTCTTTGTGGAGAAAGATTAAACCCATATTTTTATGTTCTTATTCAAATAGTCCCACAGGAATGAAGATTATCACCCACTCTGGTCTGGTTCAGGAAACTGACACAAGCCTTCTGAGATGGATCCCATCCACAAAATCAGAACTTGATAATGGTTACATGTGAGTGGGATACTAAAAAAACAAATTTTAGCCTCAAATTGTAAGGTTTTGAATGAACTAAAAAATGAGATTTTTTAGGAAATTGCGGGAATATTCTGCCATCATAAGAAGATTGTTGGAAATACCACGTGGAAAAATGACTGAGTTTGTTGATCACTTCAAGTAAGTTTAATTTTAGGGTGCAAAATTTACACTTTTAAAAGCAATTTGGAATTTCATTGATATTGTGTTATATTCTATGCTCAAATAATATTTCAGAGAGATCAGGGGAATTCAAGGTACTGAAAATGAAAAGGGATTAAGCTTCAAGATCTCAGATATTATCCATGAACACCTGACTTGAAGTGTTAAAAATGATCCTGAGTATGTGATTTTGACCTTTTTTTTCCTCAGAAAAAAATGATATGGATGGGTTTATGTTGAATTTTATTATGTAGGCATGCTCTTGTTGGCTCAATTTTGGGAGGGGAATCCTCAATAGATGAATTTGTAAAGATATATGAGCTCAAGGTGAAGAATATGTATGTACATATTGAGCTCACCTACTCAATCCAAAATGATTATTGTAAACTGAGCCAACTAATGATATGATCTTTTTTATTATTATAAAAATAATAAAGTAAATTGCAGGATATTACTGAGCTTCTGACTGATGATCATCCATATTATAAACATAACAAGGAAGATTTCACACAATTTTTGTTGGAGGGAGGTGGAAATGATGTTGTGGACTTCTCTGGAGCATCTTGGGACTACAGAGATGTTCAAAAGACATATGAAGATTGGAAGAAATTCTGTAGGAGCAATTGGAGGGAGCGTGAGTCAAATTAGAAATATAATCCTTCAGAAATTTGATTACAATTTGTTCACTAATTTACTAAATACAATGATTAATCCCAGCACAAGACACAGACAAGAAATTTATGTAAGAGTTTTTTGATAGGAAATTTCATGTATTGACTTTTACGTATTGGAATAATTAATCTAAATTTAAACATGATTTTGTTGTACATCAGGTCATGGAAACAATTTGAACAGCATTCAGCCAGACTTTTTGGTTTGGATGATAAATTGATTCAAGATATGAAAAACTCTGAATATCTGTAGGTTTTGTAAAAAGCCTCTGAATAGTCAATATACACCCTTGAATTGAGAGAATTAACAAGGATCAAATTGCATTGATCAGGCAGATAAAAAAATCTGAATCTTTAAGCCAGTATGCAGAGGAAGAAAAGTATTGGCTTCCTCACATGATTTCCTTGAGGTTAAATTGGCTAAATGAGGAGAAAAAAATGTTTGTCTTGTGTCTTTTTATTGTCTCTTTGAAACAGTTTTATTCCATTCATACTGATTTGACTATGAATTTAGGCCACCTTTGATCGTGGAAAAGATGAATTCAGGAATGTCTTTGAAGGGAATAGCAAAAGAATTGGAGCAGGAATTTCTAGATATCAGGAAAAGCTCATCTGATATCCCAGTCCCTACAGCCACAAGTGAGTCAGGCAACAAACCTTTCAAGGAACCATAATATGATCTTCCAAGTCTGTCGAGATGAGCAAATAGAATGTTGATTTTAATTACTGTGACTTTTCTTGGTATGTAGGTGAGAAAGTATCTCTCAAACCAACAGGAATGAAAACCCCACCAGTATCCAATAAAGAGCAAGAAATTAGTCCCCCAAGGAAATTAAGTTTCATTTCAAGATGGGTGAAAAAAATTACTCAGGCTACAAAAACTGTTTGGCAAAAATTGATGAGCATCTTCAAGGGAACTTCTAAATAGTTTCTTCAGTGTTTCAAACTACATTCCTTTATGAGTATGGTGAATTGCAATGTTATGTTACTGTTTGGGTTCATTTTTTTTTCTAGATTCTTAAGGGTCCAAAAGCCCAGCACAAATTGTTTGTTTCTCTTAGTGCTCTTTGTCACTGTCAGTAAATGTTTGTTTCTCTACCATTACCAAAGTATCACTAGCCTCCGTACATTCAGGGGGTTTCGTCTGTTACATATCTCAATTTGCCATCTACATACACAGATGAAAAATAGCCCACCAGGAATAACCCATGCCTTGGTGCTATCCAAACCCTTTCGAGCATGAATGGCCATTTATAACTGCAATTTTCGCCAGTTTTGGGTTTCATCAGAGTTAGAGGATCATTATCCTTCCCAGTACCACAAGAGCATTCATCACGTTCACATATCGCAAAGACCTGACTCTGGTACCTTAATACCTCCAAAGTTATCTCATTGATTCTCGTTCTCTACTAGGTTGGTCACGGTGAGATGTCAAATTATCGTAAAACTTTTGAACCCAATCGACCAATCTGAATACAAGCGAAAACTCACGACGGAACCCATCCAGGACCCAATGATTAGTGGGCTGAATGTTTGTGCAGCGAATCCAAAAAAGCACACAGCTTCTATTGAGTGGTGCAATGATGGGCGAGCGAGTAGTAAATTACCAAGATACATTTCCAAAAAAGTCTGGAATACTGAGTGGAGAGTGTTAGGGACAAGCATGATACCGATACAATCTGGAGACCAATTGAGAAAGCTGACTGAAGCGAGAAAATACAACAACAACGAAGAAAAGAGAAACAGATGGATTAGGATGCAGAGGGAAAAGAAAGAATGTTTGCCTAGTGAGATGGTATGAATATGGTCAGACTGGGTTTGTCTGTTCTCTTCTTAATGCGTTAGCGTCTGGGTCAGATTCGAATCGAGTAGGTAAAGGGGAGAGGACAGGCTTGGATGGGAGTCCTAACAAGGTTTGGTAGGATCTTCGTTTGGGGTCTTTCGCTCGCGCTTCTCGCGATTGTCGAACCTTTCTTTCAGGTCTCACTACAATTACGGGCTGAAGTTGCGGAGAATCAGTATCCTGGAATCTCCTCGAAAGAGACAGTGTTTTGAAGGAACAGCTTACCACTGGCGAGCGAGCAACTAGATATTGACTGGTCGAGCTGAGAGAAAACGCTTTTTGCCAAGCCGATGGGTTTTTTCCTCGGGTCCCAACAACTAATGAATCTGGCCGATAAACTTCAAGCATTCTGTAAAGATTGAAGTGAAAGAAGAGGTAAAGTCAGGAGAAGTCAAGCTTGAGAATGAGGTGGAAGCCACGAATTTGACTGACCGTTGAATGGTTTTGATTGCAGGACCGATGACAAACTCGACGGTGACCGTAATTTGACGATCGTTTTTGGTCAAAACATGACGAAGAACTTCCTGGGCCTCAGTTTTGGCATGCTCCTCTTTCTCGACGTCCTTGTGAGCCGAGCCTCCTGGCTCTACAGCTTGAAGTACGACCACTTCGTCGCCATGCTTTAGACGCCACGTAGATTGCAATAAGCAAAAAAGGTGAAAGACCGTCAATATCATGAAAATTTGCCACTGTAACCCCCCCCCCCCCCCTCCCAAAAAAAAAGACTAACCTCGACCAGTGATGACATTAGCCAGTCAAGTGCTTGAATCGAGTAAGATTCGCCATCGGTGGCTACTAAGAAACATCTCGAGTCCCGACGAGGCTTATAATTTGAACTCTTAGCTTGAAGGGTGAAGCTGTATTCGGCCCCAGTCCCACCACCCTTGGTTGGTTCTTCGGTTTCCATTGTCGAAAACCCGACCCTGCGTTCATAGCCCGGTGGAAGAAGTTCTCCCGAGGAACGAGCTCGAGAGAGACTAGGCCGAAGGGGGAAGCCCGTGGTGGTCAGCGGGGAAGATGCGGGAGCTCCGATGGTAGAACTCGGTAGGCTGGGACTTGAAGCACTGCGTAGTCCGTCCTGTGGTTCCTCGGTTGACTTTGGGTTCTGTGAGCCTGACGGGGTGGAGCTTGAGGATAGTTTGAGTGCCGAGCGGAGGGCAACGGGCTTGTTCAATTCCGTCGATGTGTGATGTTCCTCATGACCGCTGGAAGATGGGAATGGTAGGTTGATCTCGTGGGTATCGCTGGATGATAGGGAGGAAGTCATTGTGTGGTGGTGGTTGATGATATGGTTCTTGGGTGAAGGTGGTCGGCACTGGCCGGCAACAGTTGCGCTTTGTTTCCTTATAACCTGGCCCGGAGGCTGATTATGTAAGCAGCTCAGCCGGGCCAATCCACCGCCGAGATTCCGAGGAGTGCCACACCGCCCGACACCGCCTCACACTGCCCGTTCCCCACTGCAGACCACATATTAGAGGGTGGCAGTCCTGACTCCTGCGTAGCAGAATGATGGTGTTTCATATCTATAGGAGGTCGATCCTCTTGAGACTTTGGCGCCAGAGCTGCGATGGAGCACTGGACACTAGAGATATAACTTCACCTATTGCTCAGCCCCCCTTGACAGAATTAACAGAACACTTGCGTGCAGCTTCAGTAAAAAAGAGTTGGGGAGGTGATGTTTTTCTGTCATTCAAGCCTAAGAATAACTGCATCCGGGTGCCCTATGTCTCTCTTCATGTAGACTTTCCAAAGGTCAAATCTGAATCTTGTTTGGTGCTGAGAACTCGGTAATTTTTTATCACCATAGATGAAGGTTAGGATTTGGAAACCAATCCTAAACGCACCTCCTAAATTGAACTGAATGCCTCAGTGGTGCGTGTTGCCGGAAACAGCTGTCTGCGGATGGAGTTTATCAAGTTCAATGTTGCTGTTAGCATTAAGCTCACGCCGAGTGCCTCATAAATATGAACGCAGCAGGGTCTCATCTGAGGGAAAAGCCATCACCCTCCATCCGCTCGTGATTCTCGAGACCAGAAAATTCAAACCATGAAAGTCACCTGGAAAACCTCGTTCGTCGGCTGCATAGCTCACCTCAACTTTCTGCTAGTCAAATCAGAAACTGTGATGAGGAGCACGCTTAGTATAAGCGACGAAGAACCGAGGAAAGGAGAAAAGATAATATATCTTTTAGATAAGACAAACCTGTGATGAGGAGCACGCTTAGTATAAGCGACGAAGAACCGAGGAAAGGAGAAAAGATAATATATCTTTTAGATAAGACAACTGCGAGTCGACCAGAATGTGAGACGAAAGAATAAGATCGAATAGTATTCATCAGAATCATGAAAGAGAACAACCATTATGATGACAGTACTTACACCTGTGATGAGGAGCACGCTTAGTATAAGCGACGAAGAACCGAGGAAAGGAGAAAAGATAATATATCTTTTAGATAAGACAACTGCGAGTCGACCAGAATGTGAGACGAAAGAATAAGATCGAATGAGGAAAAAGAAAGAGAACGAGACACAAAACACAACATGATGAATGAGAAAATTATCCATGAGTCATGCAACATCCCCGATCATCACCATGATCTCTCAACCGTCTTTAACGGTCCGATCTCCAATACCGTCATCATCACACCCCTCCATGTTCTCCAAAGTGATTACTCCTGCATCAATTTTGTTTTTAGATAACACCGTACCTGGTTGAGATTTTGTGAGAAAGTCGGCCAAGTTGTCCGCCGAACGACAGAAGATTAGACCAAAAGACCTCCCAATATGAAAGCGAATCCAATGCAAGCGAATGTTGATATGACGTGTTGCATGATGATAGAGCGGATTCTCCAAAAGAGCAATAGCTCCCTTGTTATCATTTAAAAGTGTCGGTTCCCCCGACATATCCACCTTAAGAGAAGGGCCTATTTCGCCTAATAACGAACATAGCCATAAAATATCCTGACCCGATTCCGAACACGAGCGATGCTCCACCTCCGTAGTCGACAAACCAGTAACAGGCTGCTTCGAACAGCGCCACGCCACGGGACCCAAAAACGTCACCAGATTCCCGGAAAACGATCGCCCATCGATAGAACCGCCCCAATCCGCGTCCGCCCATGACATAATCCTGCTCTCTCCTTTTCCCAAAAGGATTCCGGTATCCATCGTCCCCTTTAAGTAGCGCAAACAATGATGGAATCCACCCACAGATTTCTTTGTTGGAGCCAACAAGAATTGCGAGAGGAAGCTGCTAGTGAAAGCCAGATCCGGTCGAGTACATTGAACCAGGTAGTTGAGTAAACCAACTGCACGTCGATAGTCGATCGAATTGTCCAAAACATCCTCTGATTCATTAGGCTTGCCATTGATTTTAGGGATTAAAGGCGTTTTTGTACCGTTACAATCAGACATTCCAAATTCCCTCAGAATATTCTTGATATATTGATCCTGAACCATAAAAATTTGACGCTTCGGCCGGTTTCGAACGACGCGAATTCCCAGAACAAACTTGCATTCACCCAAATCCACCATCTCAAAACGGGAACTCAACAGTTCCTTCACCCAGTTAATCGATTTCCCACCAATGATTAAGTCATCGACGTGAACAAAGATAAAAGTTGATTCATCGTCCTTGCAAAGAAAAAGGCAAGGGTCGGAGACCGTGGGGAAGAATTTTATTTCGGCAAAGAAATCGGACAGAGCTTGATGCCACATGCGCGGGCTTTGCTTGAGGCCGTATAACGATTGATTCAAATAAAGCCCTTCACCCGGCTTCAAATCAACATTCACACCCTCGGGAACTTGGATAAAAATATCGCAATCCGGTTTGCCATTCAGGAAGGCGCACTTGACGTCCATCTGGTGCAATTCAAGATCCAAGAGAGCAGCCACCGCCAAAACCGTACGCAGAGTTAGGAGACGTCCGGTAGGGGAGAAGGTTGCCATATAGTCGATACCTTCCTTTTGCAGAAACCCCCGAACAACCAAACGAGCCTTGAATTTATCAATTTCGCCGAACATATTGAATTTGGTCTTAAAGACCCACTTGCAAGACAGAGGCTTGCAACCAGGAATCAATTTCCGAATCGACCAAACGACATGACGTTCCATATTTTGAAGTTCAACATCAATCGCCGCCACCCAATCAAGCGCAGACGAAGATGCAATAGCCGCTTTATAAGATAATGGATCCGATGCTGACGGTTCCATAACAATATTGTTAGCACGGCGACGTGTAAGGATAATATTGTCTTCCGAAAGAGTGGAAGTAATATTACGCGGGGCAATGTCATAATATGGGACATTTGCATACCCCTTTTTTGATTTAGATTCAGAATTCTCTAGATTAGAATGAGAATTAGAACCCTGCAGCAACTGTTCAACCTGGGAATCATCAGACCGTGATGAACTATCGCGTGGGGTATCTTCCATGACAGAAGTCGAATCATGGAAACCTTCAGAATGTGAAGTACTACCCTCACCGATATCTCCCAAGTTAACATTTGCTGGACTAGGATTAACGACTTCTTCTCCCGCAGGCAAATCGAAGATAGTCGCGTCGATTGATACCGGAAGCGAATTGAGTTGAATTCCCGGAAAATGATCTTCTTTGAAACGAAGGTTATGAGTAAACATAACAACATTCTTCTTACAAGACCAAATTCTATAATTCTTGTGACCTTCTTGATAACCGAAAAGAATTCCTTTCGCACCGGAAGATGACATTTTTGAATCACGAGAAAGCTTCTCCTCATAATAAACAACTTCACAACCAAATGTCTTCAAATGATCCAATCTAGGCTCGTCGTTGTGCCACACGAAATAAGGAGAGTCCATGTTCAGAGACGCGTTGGGAGTGCGATTAACGAGATACACCGCTGTGTTGACAGCTTCCGCCCACCAAACCAAACTAAGGTTCCCAGTCCTCAACAAACAGCGCGCCTTCTCCACGACCACCCGATTACTTCTCTCAGCGAAAGGATTTTGCTGAGGAGTGTACGGCGCCGTTCGCAGAGGTTCAATTCCCTTGCTCTTGAAATAGTCAGAGAATTTTTTATTAACAAATTCCCCCCCATTGTCTGACACCACAGCCTTAACTTTTCGACCAGTCCCAGTTTCCATAAGATTGAAGAGTTCGACGATGACATCAAAAGATTCCGATTTTCGAGCAAGAAACCGAACAAAACGGAATCGTGATTTGCCATCGACCAACAACAAGAAATAGGAAGACTTTGCTGGTGTCTGAGGAGAAATCGGTCCACAAAGATCGATGTGAACCACGTCCAAGATACCAGCAGGTTCGGGAAAAGTTCCCTTAAAAGGCTGACGCGTCGCCTTAGATACCAAACAAGTATCGCATTCGACCGAAGAGAATGGAATTCCAGGAAAAGATTCCTTGAGAAAAGCATCACTTGGATGACCCATCCTGTTATGAAGTGTAACCGGAGAAATAGTTACACTGTTAACATTCAGTTTGATTTGAGGGATCACCAAGACACCCTCGTTATAGGTTCCTTGAAAAACGGTGGAACCGAGATGATTAACCACTTGATATCGATCGGAATCCATTGGAATTACCGACATCTTCATCCTGAGAAGAGACGAAGCCGCCACTAGCGAAGAAGATAAAGCGGGAGCATAGATTGAACTACCCAAGAATAACGGACCTGATACCGTTGTAAGAACAGCATCCCCATATCCCTCCGCTTCGATCTTCTTCCCATCTGCCAAGAACAAAGTGATTGGTTTCTTGACGACGGAGTCGAAGAAGGACCTGTCATTCAACATAGAAACCGAAGCCCCGCTATCCAGAATCACTTCTCCCGAAGAATCGGAAGATCCAACCGCAAAAGTCTTCATGTTGTCCCATGCCGGAACCGATACACTCTTTGCTTGCTTGGCTTGAAAGAACGCCAGAGCAAGTTCCGGATGGAGTGTGAAACAATTTGACTCCTTATGCGATGTGCGTGGATTGTGAGCTCCGTCTTCACAAGATTCACGAACAAACTTCTTCTTTTCCTTTTTTGAAGAAACCGGAACAGAAGCAGTTGGGGTCGAAGAAGCAACCGGCGCAACTGATGAAAAGGCCGGCCTTTGGGAAGTATTCACGGCGAGAGCGTGATTGATTTCTTCCTTTTGAGAACGACGATTCACGAAAAGATGAATCTCGTTAAACACTTTCCGTAGAGTAAGATCCTCATCTCCAGAAGATTCCCGAAGCAGAATAGTCGCAATGAGATCAAAAGAAGACGGAAGACGTCGAAGTATGATGTGTGCCCACACCGAGTCCAATGTAGCTCGATGAAATTTAGGTTTGATTTCCATTAAAAGATTAAAATCGTTACGGAATTTAGTAACACTCCTTTCTAAGTCTCCTTCCAGCCAAGTAGATGAGATCACTCGATCCCAGATTGAGGCTGCGTTTTCGGAAGACTTTCCAACATGATACCGGACAATGTTGTCGAATAAAACTAGAGGTTCAAAGACTCGCAACTTGTTTCGATCAACAAATCGAGATTCATTGTCCTTGTCCAGTGACATGCGAATCATGGTCGTCGCTATTCGCTTCCGTTGCGCGATGGTGTCAGTGACACCAGCCGGAGGATCACCTCCCAGCACCAAGTCCTCTAGATTCTTGAGAACAAGGTGGTTGATTAGGGAGGTTCGCCAAGAATCAAAGGTATCGTCCGTGAGGACGACCATCTTCTTAGCACCAGCTTTTTCATCGAAAGCAACGGTCGCTTCGTGAGAGTCCGTCATCACGTTCAGAGGTAAACGTTCGTTCAAAGGTAAGATCTTTAGAGCGCTGGGCTCATAACCTAAGAAACTGTGATGAGGAGCACGCTTAGTATAAGCGACGAAGAACCGAGGAAAGGAGAAAAGATAATATATCTTTTAGATAAGACAAACCTGTGATGAGGAGCACGCTTAGTATAAGCGACGAAGAACCGAGGAAAGGAGAAAAGATAATATATCTTTTAGATAAGACAACTGCGAGTCGACCAGAATGTGAGACGAAAGAATAAGATCGAATAGTATTCATCAGAATCATGAAAGAGAACAACCATTATGATGACAGTACTTACACCTGTGATGAGGAGCACGCTTAGTATAAGCGACGAAGAACCGAGGAAAGGAGAAAAGATAATATATCTTTTAGATAAGACAACTGCGAGTCGACCAGAATGTGAGACGAAAGAATAAGATCGAATGAGGAAAAAGAAAGAGAACGAGACACAAAACACAACATGATGAATGAGAAAATTATCCATGAGTCATGCAACATCCCCGATCATCACCATGATCTCTCAACCGTCTTTAACGGTCCGATCTCCAATACCGTCATCATCACAAAATCAAGATTGCCTTGGGATGAGCTGGGTGAACTGGAACAGGCTTTATTGCGAAATGATGATCATAGGTTCGGTACATCTCTTGAGTAGACTGTGACAGATCTTTAATTTTCTGAAGCCGGTACTCGATTGATTTTAGAAAAACTCACAATCCGGTCGAGCATACATTAAATTTGAGCGTTGCAAAAGGTAACAGAAATGTAGCTTCTGGCCAAATGAACCCAGTTGAAATGCATCCATCAGATATTTCTACCTTAGGTCAAGCAGGTGGTGTGTGAAATTTGTTTTGCAATCCTCTATGATTCAAGCTTACGCCTAGATTGGTTGGATGCCAATGGCCCCTCTGTTTGATGCCCCCTTGTGATACGGGGATGAAATCAGATCAGATCTATCCAGTTATCGGACTCCAAAGCGAACTTTGTTTCCCACATGCAGCCTCAACAACCAAGCGAAAAACAAACGAATTCAATTTCATGGGTGAGCAATCGACTTGCTTTCTCTAACTCTACATTTGAGTGGCAGAAGAGCCGTTAATTTTACATCCACATGTATTTGCCAGGGCTTTCAAATCAGAGTCCTTCTTCCAATCAACATATCGGGGCGCCTTTGCAGTCAAGCAGTCATTCTGAGTGGACGCAGAAACAACCCGTACTTAACGCAGAACTGATTCGATCCCATAAGACTGATGAAAGAAGTAAGTCATCGACTTTCTGAAGTTGGAATAATTGGTCTAAAAGCTGAGGAGACTGATGGGAGTTGCTAGACCCAGAGCCGCAATTGCCATTTACCTTATCTTTTTATCATCCTGAACCATTGGGTAAAAAACCAAAGTTTTCTTTCCTTGCACCAGAAGTGACCTCGGAGGGCTCGGGTGGATTTTTGCCATCTGAAGAGCAAAGTAATTTTCCATCTTTTTACATGTCACATTGGGCGATCTTCATGTCTTACCCACATATCCTTTTCTTTCTGCTTTCCAGTGGTAAGTTTTTCACGCAACCCTTTGGGTAGGGAAAAAAATTGGTATGATCATGAAATGATAACCCACCACGGAACTGCTCCAGAGGGGGAACCATCGCCAACACCTCAAGAGAAAGGTACATGTGTTTCAAAGGCAAAGGGTAAAGGAAAAGTAGGAATTGGGAGTGAAAAGAATAAAGAATTCCGACAGATTCCTCAGCGAAACGATCCACTCAAGTTGTGGAAGTGGATTTGCGGTGTTACGCTCTACATCGCTTCACCAGATGACCAGGAAGTCAAGTCAGCCAATGGACCCAAGATCTCAAATTTCCTCGCAATACTTGCCGCAAACATCAGTCAAGTCAGAAACAGATTACATCCTTCCACAATAAAACCAGAAATTATTGTTAGGGTTGATGAACGTTTCTTACAGTTTTCTGACCTTCTTTGGTTGGTTAACCTTAGACTGCTCAGGAGCCTTGGCAAGCTAGAACCAGGAGAATATGCACATGAAACTCTTTTGGTACAAGAATGGATCCTTAACAGGATCTTTCAAACTAAAGAGTTTCCCTCTGAACTGGCCAAAAACAAAAAAGAAACTTGGATTGAACCCAATCTCATGCATGTGTGGGGTCCTCTGGAAGAAGCCCTCCTCTCCCACAAGCCTACTGAATCAATACACTTTGTGATAAAGAAAAGTGGAATGGTAGCAGGTGCAATATCTGATAGTCAAGCAGAGCTTACCAAAGCTGTAGTGAATGTGTTAGCTTGTTACTATAAGTCAGAAAACAAAGACAAATGGAAAGCAATATTCTCAGATGAACAAAACTTCTTAATACATATACAAAGGATTCAAATACCACACTTACTTTCAACTAGGGCAAGAACTAAAGATTGGTTAAAACAACTTGATTCACTGAAATTACTCCCTTGGAAGGAAAGGCCCAATGGAAGACTTGCACAATGGACAAATCTAGAAAAGAAAGTTTTCCAACCCAAAAACTTTCATGTGAACATTGACCTGTATGTCAAAGACCTGAATTGGTTGATTGATCATGAACAAGATGAAACAAATGTAGTATTAAGTGATGAGGGACTGGTTGGAATGAAGGAGAATGAAAATTCCAAAAGTAAAATGAAATCAAAGCTTTCTGACATATTCACAATGATGGTAGAACAAAGAAGGACAATTGAAACAAGGGATGAATTTTTTATCACTCAGTTCAATTCTCAGCTCAATAAACTCAAAGCAAACAAAATTATACAAACTATTGACATGAGATTCTCCCACAGCAGCCTACTTCAAACAATTCCATCTGAAAAATTAGAATATTTTGGAAACACACTTTGGGTTTTGAATTCAATCTTTATCACAATCATGGGATATACCATAAAAGACTTGGATCCTATTTACTTTGAAGAGCAAAAACAATTACAAGAACAATTTTTTCACATCATCACCCTAATGGAAGATGATGAAGAACTGCCCCAGAGTTCTGAAAAAGATTTCAAACCAGAAGAAGCAAGCAAAATGAAACAAATGCTTTTCAATGTACTAACTAGTCATGAAATCCTCAATATGAAGACTGGTTTCAATAAATCACCATCTGAAGGAGAGCTAATCATGATGGAAGCAGCATTGAACGTTTTAGCTTACCATTACAAAACATCAAACTGCAGTAAATGGTTTACTTTGTTTCATCATAAGACAAATTTGATCACTGCATTTGAAAATTATGCCATCAGAAAATTTGTAGCTGGTTGTTATAGACCCATGAGTTCCTCCCAACTGAAATCACTACAAAATCTCAATTTGATGCCCTGGAAAAACACTTTGAGCTTGGATGTTAATGGATCATTGGTTATCCATAAATTTTCAGGAAAGAGATCTATAAAGATTGAAAAATTAGCTTACTCAAGAATTAGTGAGAAAGTGTTATGATGGAAATTAACATTGAATTTTGTTTTCCAAGGTCTTCCAAGTCTGTCAAAATTACCTCAAAAAGATTGTTGGTACAAATTGGAATATGTGATTCAATTTGAACACATGTTTTCTTCAATTCTTTCTTGAGTGTTTTGCTTTATTTCAATTGTTTGATAGTCCATTCCTATCTATAGTACAAACTAGAGGGGCATTCCCATGGAACTCATGTGTGTACACTCTTATAATGCACACCATACAATTTAACCTGTAATTGAAATATATGCACTTGGCATTACTTTGTGTATGGAACTCTTGGGGTCTTGTTTTGCAATAAAAACTAGAAACCTGACATAAAAATATAACAGCCCTCCAAGGAGGATGCCTAATCCTCCTAAAGTTTCCTTGAACAATTTTTATGAGGTCTTCAGGTCTGGGAAGCAAAAGCCCAAGGATTACAAATCCTTATGACTAGGATGCATTCTCACACAAGCCTGTCAATAACCCCTTCAAAGCAATGCAGGCACAGAGACAAGGCAACAGCAGGATTGAACCACAAGAGCTAATCCCGAATTTACCACGCAATGGTTTGTCACTCACAGATGACATCCATGAAGGAATGATCCAGAGTTTCTAACATCTCATATATCATAGCAAATCTATAACATCATATCACTCCAAAACAACTCTCATCCAAGTTACTATTCTTGTCTTGTGATAGGTATTCAAAGCAGTTTACTAGCAATAGACTCAAAGCGCCCAGAAGAATTTTATACAGTGAGAAAGAGGATCCGATCAAAACAAGAAACAATTCTGGATCCAGTTGGCTCCAAAAGCCTTCGGATGAATACATTCATGGGTCATTTAGAGGACTTTGTCGAGTCTTTCACGGGAGATTTAACGGCCGGTGTAGTACTGGTAGTGGCTGTGTTCGCGGAGCCAAAGAAGATGTTTGGGGTGCTAAAGATCGGGGTGTTGCTGCCGAAGGGAGATTTCTTGTCCGAGTCAGGCTGACTAGGTTTCCGGAGTGGGAAGAGATTTGTGGCGGGCGACTCAGTCGTCGAGGGCGGTTTGCCGAATAGATTACTAGCAGCGGTGGCGGGAAGAGGGTTCCCAAACAGGGTGGTTGTCGCCGTCGAGCGTGCTGGGGGAGTGATGTTGGTGACCAACGGACTGCTAGTGTCTGGAGTCGCGCCAAACAACATGCATAATGAGGGCGTACTAGTTGTCGGGGTGGGTTTTGTGGAGCCAGGGCGACTGCCAGGGGCGGGAGAAATCGCTCGTGCCTTTCCAGCAGCATTGGTATTGGTGAAGTTGACAAAGGGGAAGATATCGTTGGATTTTGAAGGCTGTGATTGAGCTGCCGTGTTCGTTGACTGAGTGGCTTGACCGGTGGTGCTAGTTGGTTGGGTAGCTTGAGAGGCGGGGGAGTTGGCACTTTCTTTAGTAGTGGAAGAGGCGGGCTCCTGAGAGGTGACAGGCTTGTCAGCTTGAGCGCTTGACGAGCCACGTTCAGGGTGCGATGGTGATCCTTCTGGCGGATTTTGACGTTTGGAGGGTACGTTTACTGGGTGTTGTTGCTCACCCGGTTGTCTGGGTGCGGGTTTACTGCCAGGAACATTTGCAATATTGGGCTCATTGGATGAGTTGATGGGTTCGAATTCCACATCGACGGGAACATGGAGTGATTCCGTCACTTCGCTCGGAGGATGGGCGATGGGATCGTCGTCAAAAACTGTGCTCCTCAAGTGCTCGAACTCTCTTCTGGCGGCAGCAGCTACTTCACGCGATGAGACTGATCTGTCGCTGGGAACTAGGGTATCTAGGCGCTGGCTAGTGGCTGCATAAAGTTGACTGTCAGCCCGTCCGACGGCGATTTGGAATAATGCCCCCAAGAGTGTGTCCTCGTTGACGACAAAGCCACTGGCGACTAGCTCGTTGATTCCCTTGTACATTCGGTCATAGAGCGTGGTGATGTGATGGGGCTCGCTAATTTGCGCATGGACGTTGAACAAGTCGACGAGGGCTGCCATGTGGGATGTGCGATTATTGCGTAGGAACTGTGCCTGGAGGGAGGTGTACGCGTCGTGAGCTGAGGTTGCACCGTGGATACAAGATCGCAGCTCGCGTGGGATGGTCCAATAGATCAAGTTACGCGCTATTTTATCTTCAGCCTTGCTGAAGGGTGTAGCCGGGGTTCCCTGTAGGTATTTTTCGCGATCGACCAAGTCCGAGAGTGTTTTATCGATCTCGCCAACCCATTCGTGTATGTTGGCTCCGTCCGGCCGAAGAGGGATAATATCGGCGGCGAATTCTCGTATAGCTTCCATCGTTCGTATGGAAGCCAAGATAGGATCCTGGGGGTCATCACCCACGGTCTTGCTGGTACCATTTTGGCTGGAGGAGGTCATGATCTGGGATTCGAGTTGAAGATGGGAGTGAAGACTGAGGAAACAAGTCAGATTGGGATTTCAATGTGGATCAATCTGGATGTTCGGTGAGTTTGTATGTTATGGAACTCGAGGGAGAGACGGACTTGTGATGAGAGAATCGCCTGTGTGCTTAATAACTCAACAAGGGCTGACTCCGCAGGCTGAGTATCCGATTGGACAATGGAACAACACAAACGCGCCGCTGGACGCTCTGCACGCGCATCAAACACCAATAGCACGCTTTTTGAAGACCTTGTAACTTGTGGCTGCCTGGACCAACACACCGTACAAAAGCTCAATTCCTCGATTTGTCTTTCTTCAAGTTTTACCCAAGCACTGTAAGAACAACACCAAAACTTTAGTCTAAAATTGAAGAATGTGGATAAATCAATATGTTCCAAATCATGGTATCATAAACCTGGAACCCCAAGAAATACAGTCAACTCCCTCTTAAACCATGACCTATTAACCCATAACCCCTCTTAAGCCATATATTTTTCTAGAAAATTTGTCCACCAAAATGGGAAAAATGCCTAAAAACTTGACTTATTAACCCATACTCTCCCTTAACCCATAGCAAAACATGTCCACCAAGGGGTATGGCTTAATAGGGAGTTGACTGTACATACCATTCAAAAGGGCACAACTATCACATATCCAAAGAAAGTGATCACCCAAAAGCTGTTTGATTTTGTGATTCTATGATTGGATGACTTCCCATTGTTATCTCCAGTACAGACCATATTCAAAAACAGATTTAGACTCACAGAAATATGATTTTGTGGGGAAATCTGATTCAAGAGGCCACAAAGCTTGTTGTGCAGAGGCCACAAACTATGGGAAGTCTTCCATTTATGATTCCATGAATCCTAATTTTGAATACCTTTATTCTCAACAAAAGAACTCCAACAGTGGATAACTTCCCATATTGTCTAAATTTGTTGATTGATACATTATCTGCTGGGGAAACTTGTGCAAGATGGGGTTTTTGCAATGCCAGCCTAGAATCCCCTTCTGAATCAAGGAATTTGGGAAACAGGAAAAAATCCAGTTTTTGAGTAGAATCCCAAAAAAGGCAGAACCCCATCTCAAAGTCGGGCAATAAGAACCTATTTTTTCTAGGAAATCAACCCATTTTCCCTTGAGAAGCAATTTTTTCTTTCTTTAAAAATCACATTGTAAAAATAGCCTAGCTGTGTCTTCTAACTTAACCAATCACCTCTAATTTGTTATGAAGTGCAGCACATTAGTCACCTAGCTTGCTGATTACTCCTCAGCTATATCAACAATAGTGGCAAAAGACAAAACCTCCCTTGCTCAAAGAAAAGATCCCCTCATCTATCAGTAAGAAAACTGTTTGCTTCAAGTTGAAAAAAGTGCCTCCCAGTCTTACTGGTACATTCAATTAAATTCAAAGATTTACTTCTTGGGAAGTACCATGATTGAATAGAAGATCCTGCATAATGCGGACTTGCTCCACTCAATTCAATCGAGTGTGAGTGATCCACCAAACCAGCCACGATCCTATCGGATCCAGACAACACTACCGAACAATTGTTAAAGCTATCTTGCCGATCTGAAAACCAAGTGAGAGGAAAATTTCAACTTTCAAAACCCCAAGGATATTTTTGATCAAATTTTAAGCGATGTGGCTTGTGGTTTTAGGCAACGAACTCACATCGTGATCAAGCGTCCGCTGGTGAAGAAGGACAACAAAAAGAAATAGATAGAGAAACCTAGCTATCACCTCTGACTTGGGGATTAAGCGGCCCACCTGTTTCAAATCAATCCAAGAACACAGGAAAATGAAATGTTCTTCCGAATCCTACCTCCAGTTCAACAAAATTTGAAGAATGTCCGATTTGCTTGGATGAGCTTCGTATGGACCCATTCACACCTTATAAGGGTTGCAATAAACAATATAACATATGGTCCATCGAAGATTGAAAGGAAATTCAAACCTCGTGCCCGACCTGTAGAGCCTCACTTCTTTCTCGATTTCAAGAGGTCGCCTATTTCATACATTATAAAGTTTTCTGAAAATGTCCATTGATATGTCTAACGGAGTGGACCGTTATGATTTGGTCTCTTTATTATTAATTGAGAATCTTCTGCAATGAAAGCTTTTGGCATTCCACCGGCACAGTTGGCTTCGGAGATTGTCTAGCAAACTAATCGACATGAATCAAAAGAAATTAGGACTTATGTCCCGGTAGACCCTCAGATGCGAAGCCGACACCGCCGGCCACTCCTAACTCCCGGGAAGCCAGCCATACAAGAATCGGTCGCGAAAGTACATTTTCATAAGTGCAGGCTTGGTTGCAAAAGGCTTTAACTTGTGTCCGTTACATCGTCATTGATGAAAATCAGAAGATAATAGAAATACAATGTACAAAATTGAAAGGGGAGACAATGTAGAACAGGTGTGTTTGAATATTGTTTTGAATGATTTCTTCACACCAATCGATCAATATGCACAATGTTTTGGCTTGACCGATATTGGGGTAGGGTCGTGGCAAAATTTGTTGAAATCACGGGCTCCAATGGTTGTTTCATTTGACTGAAGTAATGTTTGAAGCAGTTGTGGTCAGTAATCTGCTTTTGAACAATTGGGCAGATACATTCCCAAGAATTAATGCAACTTACCCCCTTGGTAAACTTGACATTTCCATCACAGCAGTGGGCGGAATCCGCTTCCAAGCCAACACAATTATGATATCCTTTTACACCTGGTGGAAGATTCTGCGTTGGATTGGCCCGTTTCACTTTCAATTTGATAGATCGAATGGTGAAGGTGAGGTTAGTATGGCACGACGGCGAGGCCACGTGTTGGAAAACCACACATACACAAATAGTTTTCTGGGGTTGGCCTAAACCTGATTTCCCCAAGCTGCCCTTTCGCACAAACTGCTTGCAGAGAGCTTTTCGGATCGCAATAAAGGGTGCATTTGTTCTCTATATCATATTTTTGGTCCGCAGTGGAAAGTCCGCATGTCATTGAGATCAGAACTGTGATATGTTTTAAAAACTGCATAGTGGAGTGTGGAAACGTTGTTAAAGAAATGCCGAGCTAGGAGACAGAAAGGAAACCGAAGTTAATGAGGATTTGGCTTGAAAGGGGTTGTGCAGCGTATTATCTAGACGTTGACCGACACAATCAGAAGTAAACCCCGATAAGTGGAGGTGATTGCCAGCTGGGGTGCTTGGTCAAGGATGTCATGATTTATACCCTCATGATTGCCTGTTGTGGCCTGTGTAGCGCTGAAGCGCGCAAAATGCAATCAGGGAAGATGGAGGCAGCTGAAACGCTGTCAACCGTTATCCTAGGGGAATGATGGATGATACTGACCAACCATGATGGCGGTGGCACAGGCTCATAAATCCATAATTATTATGGTGACAAGAATGTGGTTTCTAGATTCCTCGAAGTCCCAAAGTCTACGAGGTCAAGTATAGTCTTCCATTTCAATTGCGCCCTGGGAACGTCACAAAGAAATCCAGCCCATCACTAAGACCTCTTCCTGGATAATCAAGTTTGCACAGCTATGGAAACTCCAATTGTCAGCAGTGCAGTAGCTAGGTAAGTAGGTAACCTGTATCGGACAGACCTTCAAGGAAATTTGATTCCTCCAGCATATTAAAAACTGCATTTGGATTGACAGATTCCTGAGTAGAGGATACCTCAGTGTATTCTGTAAACCCACTTGGAACATGGTAATCAGGAAGCAGGGTGCAGATGGCTTGCACAAGATTTTGGTTGTATGATCCAGTTTCAATCATTCATCCTGGTGGTTTTCATTAGAAATGTACAGTTCACTATTATAAACCATTTTTAATATACATATGATATGGGATTAAGGCCTCCTTTGGCAGCAATATATGAGGATTTTTTTCTGACATCCTACGTGACATTTGATCAGGTCTGAAAAAACTTGATCAGATGCCACAAGAATTGACATTAGGGGGGTTCACGATAGCTTTTTTGACTTATGGTCTCCCCCAAATAAATTCTTGCTGGTGAAATTTTTCAGCTAAATATTAAGCTAAAATCACTGGCACAAAGAATGACCAGGATACATAAAGCTTGCTGGTCATCTCATAGCTTCCATAAATTCATACTCCCCATGTGTCATACATCCTCCATCCAACAGACAACTTGTACATACAGTGGGTGCCCCGTTATTTTGGATTCCAGAGTTTCAAAGCACAATTTTGAAGTCACAAGACTTGGTCAAATGGTGCAGAATAGGTCCCAGAAAATGAATAGTAAAAATAAAATAAAATAAAAGTTTCAAAATTTGTGAAAAGTAAAACTGTTTTTTTTCAAGGTCCTTAATAAAAGGGGGTTGGAAAAACGACTCCCAAAAATTTGCTGATGACTCCCATTTTGGTCAAGGGGTCGTTGGGTGGGAGTCGTTCTTCCAAACTGATGGCTGACTTTGGGAGTCCGCCATCAAATTATTTTTTAATTTTTTAATTTTAATTTTAATTTTTACCAAACCACCCCTCATGCTTGAGGGGGTTTGGGAGTCGTTGCTCCCATGACCGGAAGGATTTCCTTCTGGTCGACTAGAAACAAAAAAAATCATCGACCGGAAGGGATTCCTTTTGGTCGATGAGGTATAACAACCTCATCAGCCAATGAGGCTCTTATACCTCATTAACCGGAAGGAATCCCTTCTGGCTGGTGAGGTTGTTATACCTCATCAATTAGAAGGGATTCTTTCCAGTCAATGAGATTTTTGTTTCTTGTCAACCGGAAGGAAATCCTTCCGGTCATGGGAGCGACGACTCCCAAACCCCCTCAAGTATGAGGGGTGGTTTGGGGCGCCGACTCCCTACAATTAAATAAAAAATTAAAAAATAATTTGATGGCCGACTCCCAAAGTCGGCCATCAGTTTGGAAGAACGACTCCTGCCCGACGACCCCTCGACCAAAATGGGAGTTGTCAAGAAGAGAAATTCTTTTTGGGAAAGGCTCATGGAGAAAGAATGAAAGAACCAACAGTTGTTTTATTCACTGCAGTTAGGCTGGCTTAAGTAGACTAAATACAAGTGATCAAAATGAGGTTTTGAGAAAGAATGGATAAAAAAGTATTTTGAATAAAAATTGAGAGAAGATAAAATAACTAGACAACACTTCTCATTCTCTTGTAGTAAAGCTAGATGAGTTAGTCAAGACAAAATATTTTAAATCACAGATAACAAGAGGTGTTATTTTAATTATTATTAACCAATTTTTCAATATCAGACAATAAGTCAAGAATAATATAAATCATTACCATAGAGACACGAGTACTTGAGTAGAGTTTATTTACTTGGGGTCCAAATTTGACTCAGAAGAAGACTCAGAAAACAACTATACAACAAGCTACTTGGAAAAATTAAACTAGTCTGTTTTAAGGTGATTAGAAAAAGAAGAAGGGAAGTAAGAGATAGATTGAGGAAAATCCAACACTGATACACCTTGCCTGCAACTTATTCTTCTTACTCCCCTTCCAAACCCCTCTACTTCAATCTGCATTGATTCTACAACATAGCCGCAATTCCATCTCTGTCATATCTGTGTTGCGCATTCACCAGCTGTTTGTCCTCCACCTATATCCAAGTGTTCAATTTCCTTTCATGATCTCATACCTTGCACTCCACCCTAATCAACCCATTCTTCCTATCCACCTTGTCTGCCATCTTTCCTTTTTTCCTTCCTCTGCAAGCTTGACTGTGTCACCCTACACCCATTTTACATTTATCCTAGGGCCACAATATCAAATCAACTTGGAATTACAAGTTTATTGCCTCTCCAATCCCTACCTCCAAACTATTGCCAGGGCCCCAATCCAAAACTCAATTCCTGTTGAATTGACATGCCAAGTCTCCTTCACAAACCCAAGTTACACAATTTTTTAGTCTCCACCTGGTCTTCCCAGTGCAAGCCACCCCTCTACGCATTAGAAACAGTGGGCCACTACACTAAACTATGCTAAACAAACCCTTAGCGGCAGCGTAGTGACCCTGAAAAACACCCTGTGATGCTGAAGCATTAGCGGGCTGTTACAGCTGCCTTCAGTGAGGCACCTGTACCTCATTGGGGAAAACGTCCCAAAATCATATGCACAAAAGTGACATGAATCAGTCCTAAAGGCACCTGAAATGGTACACATGAAACAAGGTTTTAATGTATGAATTTTGGGTCAATCTTCGGCAAAAACCCACCAACTGCATTTTCAGGAGGGGGGTGATTTCCCCCCAAGGATACACATAAAGTATGTATGAATGGCCCCAAAAAGGGCATTCCACTGTGGCCTCCAATGCATAAATTCTGACAAAATCTGGTATTTTCAGTTACCCACACATATAGGGGCTTTCCTGAGTCCTGACCCCAGACTCCATGGGGCTTTCAAAATCATCTGGCGCCTAGTAATGACACACAAGTTTATCCCATGGGGGAATGATCCAGTTGTATTCAAGAAGCATTGGGGTATCCTTTGCAAACTTGGAAGGGAGAGAGGGAGGGAAGTGGGGACAGGGTGATTTCTCACTTTACATATGCACATGAGACTGGAACTAAAAAACTAGACAACAATTTGGTATTTTTCTGATTAACTTTTTAACTTCAAAAAAGATGTTGATCCTGGACAAGAAAGAGGGATATAAAGGTGGACTTGGAAACACATTGATGGAGAATGAAGGGCCTGAAGCAACAGATGGAAACAAGTTGAGGGGCGAGGGAGGGGGATCACGAGAAGAATGGTGGCCTAATGCCGATCCTTGGAGTGATGAGACTTCTTCTTGGTATCGTTCGCGGATTTACCCGATTGAAGTTCCATGTTAGGTCCGTATATCGGATGTTTCTTGAGGGAGCTGGCAGAGGCCGCATGGGATGGTTGGGAGGATTTGGAGAGGTTAGGATCGTGAGGGGTACTACGGTCACCGGATCCGGAGGCGCTTGAAGCTAGTGGATGAGAGGATGAGTTGACCGGGGTTGATTTGTGAAGTGTATTGTCGGGGTGCTCGATGGCTTGGTTGGCCGCTGGGGCTGGAGTCGCTGTGGGCTCCGGCGGCAGCTGCTGGGCAGCTTCGTTAGCTTGACATTCGGCAGCACCTGGATGCGGGACCTGCTGACTGTATGGCTGATTCGCTTGCTGTTGATGGACTGGCACTTGTGGGCCGGATTGATTGGCCCAAACGTTATGGTAGACATTGCCGTTGAGATTGGGGTCGACTGGTTGTCCTAGGTTCGAGAATTGAGGATCTAGCGGCGCGGCCTGATGAACATGCGCACTTGACGAGTCATTCGCAAGATGGCCAGTTGGTTGTTGGGTCATACATGGGTGGGTCACTGGGTGCGAATGATTTGTTTGAACTTGCTGTTGTTGCGGTGTCACACTGTGCTGGAAGTTAGCCGGGGCATTCACATTCCCGTTGGATTCGGCCGCGTGTTGAGCCGGAGTCGCAAGATTCGGTCTAGCCGTTGGTTGCTCCCGGGGCTCCTCGTTTGCGTCCTCAAATCCTTGCGGGGTGGTCATGCCCGAAGGAACGAACAAGCCTGCTTCATCAGAGGCGGAGGTGATTGATGGGGTGTGTTCCAATTGCATCCTTGCGACGGCTGCAACCTCTTGTGAAGTGACCGAAGTGTTTCCGCGACTCATCTTGGCATCGAAGTACTGACTGACGGCTGTGTAGAGCTCGAGGTTTGAGCGGCCCAGGGCGATTTGAAACAGGGCTCCCAGTATTGCATCCTCGGTGATGGTAAAGCCGCTTGCAACCAGTTCATGGAAGCCTTTGTAAATTTGGTCATAGAGAAGACTGATTTGGCCGGCCTCGGTGACTTCCATCCGGAAGTTGAAAAGGTCGACCAGAGCTGACATGTGGCCGGTTCGCGTGTTTCTCAGAAATTGCCGGGCGATGGACTCGTAGGCAGTATGGGCTGAAGACGCATCACGCAAGGAGTAGCGTAACTCGCGGGGGATGGTCCGATAGATCAAACTGCGAGCCACTTTATCTTGCACTTTGCTGAAGGGGACCGGCGGAGCCGATTGAAGGTATTTCTCGCGATCGATGACATCCGCCAGGACTTCGTCTATTTCGTTCACCCAGGCTTGCAGATTACTGCCATCAGGCCGAAGAGGAGTGATGTCCCCAGACAGCTCTCTGATCGCCTCGATCCTGCGAATCGAAAGGGATATCGAATCTTGAGCTTCGTCTGCCGCATTCTCTTCTTCCTTCACAGTCTGTGAGTCGCTGTTCGAAGGAGCCATGGTATAGGAACTATGTATGTATGAGGCGGGGGCCGTTTCTTTCGAGTTTAGGTATTCAACTTGGGTAGTCGGAATGAGCCTTCACTAACCTGACTGGATATATATTATTTGTGGCCCTCGAGATATCTTTTCTTGGATAATATGTGCGGAAACGGATGGATGGTTGGTGGCACACAGTCTAAGGGTCCCTTCCAGCTTATATGTACTTCGCCCGTCTCCAGTCGTTTCAAAGCTGTTTCTTCCTTTCCAAAGGGTCGATTTTGAATATTCAAAGCCACCTTACATAAATATAAATGTGTGTCCATGGATGTTCTCCGTAACTAGCATGACTTGTGTCTGGTTGTGTGAGAACCTGTGTAGGAGATCCGATGCGTCTACATAGCGGATCCACCGTCATGCCTTCTGCTTCGTCGCTGTAAACTTACCAGACTCCTTGGGCATCAAGGTATGCCTCTGTTGGTCTGTCCATCATACAATGTCTGTTTTTAAGAAACCTTGGAATGAGGCAGCTGGAGATTCCTCATCTACGAAAGAAATGTCAAGTTTATCATACTCGATTTGGTACTTATCGACAGCTATGGCTCTCTTGAGCTGTAGCAGAAGGGGAACTTGGTTTACCCATCTCCGAGGGCGCTGTAGTAGAAATGAAGGCCAATCTGACAAGCTTCCTATCTTCTTGATTGAGGTGGCCCTTCTGGCCCTTCCAAGATGGATGATGTCGAATGTCATGACCAACAAATTCTGCTTATACCGGAAAGGTTTTGGACCACAAACAAGTGCCTATGGCTCATGTTCACACATTTGGTCGGGTAAGCCGCTTCATTTCTCTAGTGAACATCTGTCTGCCGGAACTGATCCAGAGAATGGAATTCTTCCTTCGTGACAGGTTTGTCGCAAGGCTGCATCAATCATCCATCTTGGACCAGCTTGGACCCTTGGTGCTACATCTTGCTACGTCACAGACAATAGATCATTACAAAACAAACCCGCTGCTTTTTTATCTTCATGCACAAATTCTCCTGCGTCTGTGCAGCTTGATTCGCTACAACGTATGTCGGGAGTTACCCATATCTGTCGAGTAAAAGAAAAAAAAAGACAGGCCAAGACGTAGAAACTTGCTGAAACTAACAGCATCCAAGCCAGAGAGGGGGGCTCCAAGAGCTATACAAACCAACAGTACATTGTTTGGGGCGGGATCTAACCAGAATGTAGGAAAGAGCTGATGAGCTTCCGTGATAGAGAAAAACAAGCCCTCTTGTGTGCATTGTGAATGACGTACATCATTGCTAACTCGCACAAGAAGGAATTACATGAGGGAGTCAAAAAGGAATGACATGACATAGGGAAGACTATCAAGTGACCATGGAGTTACACGTTTGCTTTAAATTTCACTGTTACATGTTATATGTAACTTTTTGATGCTCATTGCTTAGCTCTGGTATGTGTGATGGATATAATCAAACCTGCCTTGGTGTGAGGCATGTACAACCTGATCAAGATGATCACCCAAAGTGATCGAACAGAACAAGTCTAATAGTCAACACCTTGAGATATATATCCCTCGAGTCACTTCTTTTGTCGGTTGAGGGATTCATCATTAACTTATTTCAACAAACAATTTCACATCAAGCAAGTCAGTGGTGAGCTCGAAAGATCAACCAGTGAACAAAAGTGTAAGAGGACTGTACCATTTAACATCAATGTGTCTGAGTCTAGGATCAGTCGGTTGCCACTTTGGGCAACCACCCCAGCAATCTCTCGTGCAGCTTCAAGCCTTCTAAGTTGCAAGAAACCTACCAGGAGCAAATGAAGGATAAACAATGTCATTAAAAACATCCTAGGTCGGGACAGTTGTTCAAAAAAAAATAGAATGGGGCGGGGGATGAAAGAGGATGAAGATTCACTGACCTCGATTCTGTTTGACAGCCTCACCAATCAACTCGGCACTTCGAGCTTCACCCTGAGCACGAATTTTGGTGGCCTGTTTCTCTTGAATGGCTTGATCGACTAGGAAGGCAGCACGTTGAGCGGTTTGTTGGGCGATCTGTTTGCTCTCCACCGCCTCACTGAAAGCAGGCGAGAAGGTGACATGAGTGATCGAGACATCGTCTAGTGTTAGGTTGAAGCGGGAGGCTCGACGCGTGAGGTTTTCTCGCACAAGTCGGGAGACCATCTCTCGTTGTCCAATCAGTTGGGATGCGTTGAACTGGGCTACAACCGATTTTAAGACCTCGTTTCTGTAACAAATTTTCATCAAGAGTTTCAAGTGACGTCAACAATGAATCATCAGATATAGAAAAAAGAAAGAAAATGCGATTATTCACACTATGCTGGGTAATACACGCTCATCATAATCCGAGCCAAGTTCTCGATAGATCGTTGCCAGGGAATCGACGTTAGGTCGGGATAGAACTCGACAAGTGATGTTGACCATCTGAAGATCTGATGGGAGTTAGAACCATAGAAGATTTAAGTAAGTCCACAGAGGTTCATGGAATCCATTTATTTATTTTTTCCCTTGTGGCATGTAAGGATGCAGTATATCTATGAACCTTTTGTGCCAGTGAGTGAAGCAATCGTTCTAGGTTTCGCTCGGACATCATAAATGATCGGGGTTTCCAACCAAGGGATCTATATAAGATATCAAGGATGAGCTCAATTCTCAAAGATGAGGATGGTTAGCGAGAGCAAACAACTGACGACAAAATGAGTGCCTTCCCCATACACATCCGGTCTGACCCCATGGAGCCGAGTATATTTGATGGCCCGGTGACCACCATCGACTAAGCAGCAGAACCGATCAAGTTAGTTGAGTGGACAGATTGTTTGGTAGAGATGAGCTAGGACCACCCACCGTTGAAGAGTGCCGAGTTGAGGGTGATGGCCGCCCCACCCAGGAGCAGTAGGCCGCCGGCTCCACCCAGGGCCTTCCCGATGCCCGATGGCCCTCCGCCGAAGTTGGAGTTGCTGCCTCGCCCTGGACCCGATTGGCCAAACACTCGAGCCTGTTTGGCCAGCAGTTTCGCAAACTCTCGACCCTGTTGGTTCATCGTCTCGAGATTATTGTCTTGATGTTTCTTTTTTGGATATGTTCAACTGCCCTTGGATCTTCGTGGCTCGTGGCTGGGGCTGGGCGTGGTTGAGTTGGTGGGTGGTTGTATGCATAGCTGGCTCTGCTGGTGATTATGTAAGCCAGGCAGTCTACATAATAGATCGAGACACCAGCAGGGTACTCCTCACTCTTTCCCCCCTCAACATATACAACACGCTGGGGATCGTCATCATGAAAACTTCTACGGACTCTCGAGCCTTCGGTGGTCCAGCTTGGCTGCTTTCGATCGGATTCCTATTCCATGCGGTTTATCTCATGTCCAGTAAGTTGCTTCTCTCTATGCCTTCTTGACCAAGGACTCAAGGATGCTCACCGATAGTGTTTCTGGTGTAACAACTTGAATAGTATTCGATGTGTATTTCATCAGTCCCGTCGTCAGAGTACCTCAACGCTTCAGTCCTTTGGATCCTATTCAGGGTGAACCGCCTGCTTCTCGAGTCCATACCAAGCCCCTTGCCAGTCGGGTAGTCTTGATTGTAGGTGTGTTTGGGATCATCGTTATCCAGTATCTCTGCCAAACAGCTTGGAATATGGAGAGTTGATAAATTTCATGCTTGATGTTTTTTTTGTGTGCTTGTAGGTGATGGCTTGAGAGCGGATAAGTTATTCTCCCTGTTTCCTGATCCGCCATTCGATCCATCTCTGCCAGTCCCAATCCTGCCAGACCTCAAGCCGATACCGATCTCCGAGGAGGACCGAGTCCAAGCCAGTCAAATTACCCCGGCGCCTTACCTCAGGGCTCTGATCAAAACTGGCCAAGCAAGCTGGGGAGTCAGTCATACTCGCGTCCCAACAGAGAGTAGACCTGGTCACGTAGCCATCATCGCTGGCATGTATGAGGATGTAAGTGCCGTCACTCGAGGTTAGTGTTTATCCACTCGACCCTCATCTTCAGTTGCTCATCTTCTCCTCCAATCAATATCTCTCCTCTTCTAGGCTGGAAAATGAATCCGGTCAACTTCGATTCAGTCTTCAATCAATCTTCACACAGCTTTACCTTTGGATCTCCGGATATCTTACCCATGTTTAAGCATGGCGCATCTGATCCTTCTCGAGTGGATGCTTGGAGTTATGACGAAGCTGCTGAAGATTTCACCAAAGACGCGGCCCAACTAGATATATGGGTACTCGGACGACTGAAAAGTTTATTATCCGAGGCTCAGAGGGCAGGTCCAGGCAGCTCGCTCGATCGTCAACTTCGCTCCGATCAAGTTTTCTTTTTCTTGCATCTTCTCGGTTTAGATACTACCGGCCACTCGTATCGCCCTCACTCCCCAGAATATTTCCGGAACATCCAAGTGGTTGATCAGATCGTGAGAGGAACACAAGAGATGTTAGAGAAATTCTACGGCGATGACCGTACCGCGTTCATTTTCACGGCGGATCATGGGATGAGCAATATCGGCAATCACGGGGATGGCGATCCAGACAATACCCGCACCCCTCTAGTTGCTTGGGGAAGTGGGATCCAGAAAGGGACTGTTGGGATTCCCTTTGTTGATGACGGCTCTCTCAAACTTGATCCGTACTACCAAAACTGGAACCTCAACATGACCCAAAGAAAAGACGTGGAACAAGCCGATATTGCTGCCCTTATGGTGTGTACTCTTAAGCCAGTTGTTTTGTTACAAGTTTCTTAGGATTGTCGGCTCACTCTTCTCCTATTCTCTTAGGCTGCCCTCGCTGGAATCCCTGTGCCTTCGAATTCCGTGGGACGTATACCCCTGGACTACCTTAATGGCTCCCAAGCAGAACTCGCCAGGGCTACCTACGCCAACACACGGGAGATCCTGCAACAATACGAGACGAAGCATGGTGAGAGACGAGAGGCTGCTTAATTTATTTTTCTCACTGGCTTGGTCTCACTAAGATATCTGTTTGATTACTCCGAAAGAATTAAAGGCTTCAACCAAGTTCGGCTTCCGCTCTTTCCCTGGTTTACCTGATAAAGAGACTTTGAATAAGCCGTCCATATCGGAAAGGTTGTTCCTTATCCATAGAATGATTCTCACAGATCGCAATGCAGAGGCAATAGGAGCTTGTAGTGAGTTGCAAACTTTAGCGCTGCAAGGCTTGAAATATTTGCAAAGGTGGGAAGTCCAGAGGTACAACGCTTGCCAAACGTGATGATGACTCACCAGTACTATTTTTCTTGTGATAGGTATGATTGGTTCCGACTCCGCACGATCATTGTCATTGGATATGTCGGATGGATGGTCTACACTGCGATCTTTGTCTTGCGCACCTACGTCATTTCGCCTTCACCTCGCGACCACATAAGGTTCGGGTCGATCTTCGGCGCCGTTGTGTTCGCTGCTACGAGTTTATATTTCTACTTGGAGCACAGTCCTATAACGTATTATTTATATGTGCTCTTTCCGGCTTACTTCTGGGGTCAGATCATTGATGATGTGGATACTTTGCAAGACCTGGTGGATTGGGCATCCAGCAGCTCATCCTCTCCGACTCGTATTTGGGCTACGATCTTGGTTACCTTGATGAGTTTAGAATTCATGGTGTTAGGATACTTTCATCGAACGGCTTGGACGATTGGATGGATTGTGATCGGCGTCCTGTGGCCTTCCCTCGCGCTCTCGCCACGATTCAAAGAAGAAAATGGCCCCTTACTCAAAGCATGGCTTGTTGCTTCGGTGTTTACCAGCATATTCACAGTCTTACCTGTCGAGAAAGGGGAAAGCCTAACGGTCATGTAAGTTCCTTTCACAAGACCCAGCATGGACGCAAGTCAGTTTGATAATGACTTCCCTTCTAAATGTATTTTAGTACCATCGGGGGTTTGGCCTTTCTCTACGCTGGTTATACGATACGTCGGAAGTATGGCAGCCCCTCCCGAAGACAGTTAGCGTTGATCTTGATCACTCTTCTGGTTACCATCGATTCTACAAGAAGGCTTCAGCAAAAGCAGGGACTTCCACTTGTCAATCAGGCACTCGGATGGCTTCTTCTTGCTTCCTCCCTCCTCCCTCTCTTGCCTCGAAGCTCAAAACCATCTCGCGACACCCAAGACTCCTTACTGACGTCCCGATTGGTCGAAATCGTGTTTGCTTACGCTCCTGTATTCATCATCCTATCACTCTCATACGAGGCGCTTTTTTATCTGGCCTTCTCCGGTTCGTTGTTGATTTGGCTCGAGTTGGAGACACAGCTGGCTCGGTTCGACGAATCTCAGGAGCAATCTAAGAAGGAGCGTGAATCCAGATTGGGGGTCGGGAAGCAGATCGGACCGATTTCCAAGTTCAGATTACACCATAGTCGATTGAGTTTATTCTATCTATTCTTTATTCATGTTGGGTTTTTTGGGACGGGTAATGTGGGCTCGATCTCGTCGTTTTATTTGGAGCCGGTCTACAGACTGGTGCCGATCTTCAACCCGTTCTTGATGTCATCCTTATTGCTCTTCAAGATCTTGATCCCATTCTTGATCGTCTCATCGGTCTTTAGTACTTTGAACTTCAGATTAGGCTTGCCGAAGTTCTCCCTGTTTGTGTCGAGCTTGACGATCACCGATCTGATGAGTCTGAACTTCTTCTTCTTGGTTAATGATGTCGGCTCGTGGCTCGAAATCGGCCAATCTATCTCTCACTTCGCTATCTCTTCCTTGTTGTTGGTCTTCATGATCTTGTTGCATTTCTTGGGCGACTTCCTTTTGCTCGATTTGCTCTCCACTCATCATCCTTCTTCTACTTCAATTTCACATAAACCTAAGTTCCATTGATCTTCTCTTCATCTCACTGACAATTTGAAAATAAGCAAATTTAGTTTGGAAACTTTTTTTTTTTTTTGGTTTTGTAATGTTCCTCCAAGATAAACCATATACATATGAATAAATCTTACTTGTGTTCAAATCAAGATTAAGCATGATAGGAGAATCGAGTGTTCATCTGCATGTTTCTCAAATCTGTAGAAGTTTGTCCTTATGCTATTCATAACAAGACCTATCAGTCTGGGTTTTTGGAAGAATTAGGACTTTTTTTCCAAAGATCCGGGGCATTGTATTCAGCAAATAGGTCTGCACTCCAATAATGGTGGTTTAGCTGGCACATGACAAACCCATGAGTAATATACTGCCAATCCATGAGCCCTAACTTGCTACTGTTACAAACAGCATACTGCCAATCCTTGGGCACTGACTGGCTGCTGTTACAAGCACCCTGCGAAATAGTAGTTTGAGATCAAAGGTGGTTTGCAAATAAAATCCAAACAGGTTTTGGCTGGTCCAAGTCTCACATCATAGGAACTGGTAGTTACAAAAATGACCTCCCAAAGAAAGAGGTGGAAAACCGTTTTTAATCTGTGTGTGACGGAATAAGGGTTGCTATTGTGTTGGGCATGTGAAAATGGATCACAAATGAGGCAATGAAGCCAGAGACAAAGCTAGGCTAGAGGAGTTGGAGGGACCTAAGATAAATAAGTCTAATCTCTACGCCTAAGGGATTACTTATTTTACATCGTACAAGCTAGGGGATAAGCATGTAGAAGTCCCTCTTTATTCGGAGGGAGCAAAATGAACCTCAAACTCAAGGCAAGGTATGATGGGTCTCGGGGTTGTGGGCGGTATGAACCTGTTACTTTAATTACCCAAAACCCTTTGCAGCAGACTTTGTATGGGTGCTCATCATGATGGAAGGTTTATGTTTCATTTCTTTGACCCAGTGTTGCAGCAGAGGAGAATCACCACACCAAAATCAATCATCATTACACACCATCTACAAATTGACAGATTTTACTTGTTGAAACAGAAGCAAGTTTCAAATTGGCAACATGAACTCCTTATGTGCCACGTATTTCTGCTGGATTTCCCTCCTGACTGACAAAGCTTTCTTCACCCTATCAACTCCAACTGAAGACAAGATCAAAATCACTTACAAAGTGCCCGATTTGAACGATTTGCCACCAGATGAACCGTTAATCGCGCCCATCGGTTCCATGCCATTGTCCGAATTCTTCGGGGGCCCCAAAGAAGATTGCAACTTAAAGAGAGAACAAACGGAACCTTTCAATGTATCCTTGATGCCAGAGCCCATCGGCCATGCAATTGCAAGTTCCAGTAAACGCAAACCTATTGATAACTTTGATGCAGAAGCTACAAAAGATGCATTTTTCCAAGTTGGGGAGAAAACCCAGAATGATTTTTCAAATCACAAAGGATTCATGTCGAAGAAGGGGAGAGTTATTAGAGATGATTCAAATTCAAGTCCCAGTGGATTTTTATTCAAAGGCAAATGTCCAATGGAAAACTTAAACGGCATCCTTCATGTTGAAAACCAATGCAACAGTGTTTCAAGAATACCAAATGAGATAAAATGTGAAATTGCCAATGTTAATTCACAGGATTTCTTGCAGGAAGATCCTCAGAAGATAATTGTGACTAAAAACCAGTGGAGCCCCCAAAAATCTGAAACTGAGAGTGCATTCCATAAGCTTTTGCAGCACTTGAGAAATTCTGAAGAGTATCCCAAGACCAATCATCAGAGGTTCAAGAAAAAATTGGATCTTTCAGCAGAACCTCTTATTCGAAGAATTCATAAAAATCTCCAACAACAAATCTTTGTCTATCCAAAGGTAGAAGGAATTTGCTCAATCCATAGCAGAAGATCTAAAACTCTGACGTGCATATTGAAAATTGCAGATGAAAAGAATATTGTTGCTGAATCTATGGCCCCATTTAAAGAAATATTAGAACTCCTTGGTATCAGGAGAGATCTTCTCAAACCAGTTTCAGTATATACATACATATCAAATCTAACCAAAGCTGTAACAATATTGACTTTACTTTATGCTTCATTATTTAAAGAAGACAAAGTAATACAAGCAGAAGAACTTATTCACAGAGTGCTGGATTTCATCAAAACATTTTACATGACTGTAGAAAAAGGAGATCAGAGGTTATTCAAAGACAAAAAAATTGTGAAGTTGCATCATTTATTAAAATCCAAAGACAGTTCATTGTTGAATGTTTTCTGGATGAATAATCCTTCAAAAATATTGAACTTAGCCTGGAAAATGGTCCAGCTATTTGTAGAACAGAAAGGCAGAGACTTGATTCCAAATGCTTGTCAGATGATTTCAACTCCTAACTTTGTGGTAGAGATCATCTATAAGATAGTATTTTTTTCAAATCAGTAACAGATCTTCCATATGGGAGTAGGATATCCACTCCCAAAATTTTTAATCTGCTTTTTGATGTTTGTGAAAACATCGGATTGAAATACATCACAAAAATGGTGGTCAATCAAGATACATGTACTGGTATTGCAATGTCAAGTATTGCATTCAAAATACCATCCATTCAGTTGTATTTATAATGTAGCCCACCAATTTAAAACCAAACATGCCTTTTACCACATGAAATACTGCATCAATATTGTATTGCCTATTGATTTTTTTCACCCAATGAGATAACAATATTTCTTTTTTGGATAAAAACAAATCCATTCCAAAACAATTCAGTTTCAGTCATGAAGTAAATATCACCATATTTGACATGTACCAAGCAACCTCAAATTTAATTTGCCAATGTGACTGTGAAAATTTGCATTTGGAAGTTATGTGTTTTTTTATCTTATCATAATAGTTGCAGTTGTACATTTCCTTTGTGGCCCCTTTTTTAGCTTTTGGCCCACATCCCAACAAAAATATTTCCTGGCGGTGTTTACCAATATTGTGGGTTCAAGCTGTTTCAGATGTATCAGAGGAAGTGGTGGTATTCGTTTTTGGAATTTTTCCCTGAGGATATAAATGTTTCTGAAGTTGTTTCTTGACCCCTTGAAATGATTGGAAAGTGGTAGTATGGGATTTGGGCACTAGTCCCTGAAGTGGATGCTTCACTGTCAGGATTTTCAGTGATTGGAGGTTCAAATACAAATCTGTTTTCATGTTCACAGGGCTCCCTGTCTGAACCATAATTGCATTGTAAATTTTTTATTGTCACTGCTTGGCAAGCCTTGTCTTTGCATTTGTAATATTTCTTTTTACGTTTCAATTTACAGAACACATTCCCTCCCAAGGCTTGACCACATTCACCACTCAAAGGGCGTTTTCCTGGGTCCATCATCTCTGGAGCCGGAAATGCTTTGCAGGCCTCACAGGTGATCTTGCTGCCAGGGGCCCAACAAGCTGGGGTAAGGGCAATGATAATTCCAACTATTATAGTGATTGGGTTCATTGTGGGGATGCTAAGTGGGTAAGGAGTGGTTTTCAGTGGGATTTGAACACGTTTTGCCTATTTTGTTCAGATCAGCAAGTGTGCAAAGGATTTTCCAACCGTTTCATCAATGACAGGGGTGAAGGACAATGTCCATAGTTTGTATTTATATCAGCAAGCCTTTAGTTTTGGGTCTATCAGATGAATGAATGACTGTTCATCTCAACAGAACCTGAATGATTCAAAGAAACAGCTTCAAGAATTGATCAAATTACCATCAAGGATCAAAGAAACCAAAACAACCCCTGAGACTGAAATAGCCTGGCACAGATGCTTGACTGAATCTGCTAGCTTGAATTTTCTGGTGGCACAAGTTGTTTGTTCATCAGGCAGCCAGGGTTTACTGGTAAAAACTGTCTGGATTACTTTGTCAGATTTGTTTCAGGTATAAGAAAAATATATAACAATTGAGAAATTTCAGCAGGAAATCATATTTCAGCATCCCAATTTCTCTTCATTTCCCACCCTTTGATACTTGATTTGATTGAAGATGATCTTGAAGGAACCCCAATTATTAAGATGCTGATGATCCAACTGTGCCCAATAAGAAATCCAACACTGCTTACACCATGGGTTGGGATGGACAACTTTTGGTTGCTGCACTGCATTGTCATCCATCCAGTTTTCCATCCTATAGATGGCACTTGAATAACCACAATTTGATTTTTTTTTGATAAACCATCCAAATGGGTGTCATTTGGATGGATCCTGGCTAAAATACCTCATTAGGGGGCATCAAATATAAGAAATCCACCAGTTGAAACCAGTCAATTATCCAAAAATATTTTTTTTGACCAATGGGCCTTCAAAGGGGGAGATGAAGTACTACTAGCATTGGTAAAAATGGGGGGAGGGGGGGGGGAGTTAAAACCCAGTCAATTAAATAATTGTGGATTTTCCTATATTTGATACCCCCTATTGTTTTCTATAGAAGAAAGTTCTTCCTCCCAGTTGTAAATTTTAATTGCTCTTCAAGAAGGTTCTTCCTCCCAGTTGTAATAACAGTCCGTACACACACTGCAGTACCACATATATTTTATACTAAACAACACCTATTGGCCCAAAGTAATTTTCCACCTGCTAAACAACAGAATTTCTTTTGATAAAACCCACTATCATTATATTAAAAGCTGACAATCTAAGATAGGTGGTCTTCTTTGTAAGTTTATTACACAGGGAAGGCAGAGGATCTCTCACACATCCCTCATTGTTGGCTTGGAGATGCTTGAAATCTAAGTTTTCAGAAAACTTGTTTTTTTGAGGATAGGGGCCGGCCTCTATAACTCTTGCCTGTGATCTTCCTCCCTTTGGAAGGATTCACAAACACCATCAACCCCCGTCCCCCCTGGAGAAGTACACACATACAACAAGATAGAAGCACAATGGCCTCCCTGGACCCAATTCTGGCAGTGCTATCTACCGTCCCAGCAAACATGAACTTGGAAAGCAACCTCAATACCCATGCAAGACTAGGAGATATTCCCAACCAAACCAGTATGTTTTTTATCAAAATTCCTGGATGAATTCATTTTTATGGTACCAATCAAAGTGTGGCCATGTTTTGGGGTCAAATCCACAAGATCTACGGTAAGTCAATCTCAGCAGCCAAACACCCTCAGAAGAGCTTGAAGAATCAATGGGGATTAATTTAAAAAGATATCAACAAATTCCAAGCCTGTGTGATCCAAGTGGAGAACATGAATCAAAGTGGATACTTTTTGGAAGACTACCTGAACATGGCACTTGAACCTTTCAACCAGGATCAAGGTACTACTTTTTCTCCTATCCATTGCTAAAACATACTTGCCAAGAGCCCAAAGTGGCATGAAAACTTTCAACAAAGCATGGCAAAGGAAAAATCCAAGAAACAAGTGAGAAGTTCAAGCATCAATGTGCCTCAACCACAACCAACATCTGAACCACTTTGAATGGCTGATAAGGGATTGGTTTTGACTACAACGTTAGCAGATTCCCAGGTAAACACCAGTACTGACCATACAATGGGCAAGAAGAAAGCAAAAGTCAAAGGATCCAAAGACCAAAAAAATGTTGTTTCCATGGCTCAGAAAGAAATAGTGTCTCAAGCAAAAAGACAGAACAATATTGCAGAGGCCAAGGCGGAATATATGAAATCTGTTGCTCAAACTGCTAAGATTAATTCTGTGAGTGTGCTCATGACAAAGGACTTGACTGCTTATAATTCCATCTCCCAAAGATAATTTGAATTGAAACAAAATTCTATTCTTGTCATTCTTGAAGCCAGATCCCATTAGCTTTTCATTACAACTTTTTATTGTTTTTACCATCTTTATCACTCATTCATGGCTTTTACAAAATTATTATTGATTGATTTCCCTTTTTATTTAAAAATTTTCTTTGAATCTCATTGATTTTGAACTTCAATAAAAATGAGATTGTAGTCATACATTTGCTTCAAATCTCATTGCTCTTTCTATTTATCATGGCTTTTTTGCTTTTCTATCAATGATTGCTGCTTGTTGAACAAGAATGAAATCATGTGTTGAAGAACAATATGATTTAATTTTAATCATGTAGGATTTTCAAGGAGCTATTTACAGAATGTGAAGAGAATGAGAACAAGGAAGAATAATAAGATTGAATACGATCAGGTGAGAAGAGAGATCAAGCAAGAGGAATAAGATTGAATACAATTGGGTGAGAAGAGAGACCAAGAAAGAGGAATAAGATTGGGTGAGACTCTCACCCAATCTTAAAAACAGCCCCCAACGGCTGAGAGGGAATCCTCCCGACCATCACAAGCACACTCTCAAAGCCAAGCTTGAGGGCATAAACTCTCAACAGATGAGAGTATATACCTCTTGGTCGTTGAGGGTGTACACTCTCAACAACTGAGAGCAATTTCCATAGCTCATATTGAGGGTGAAACCCTCTTGGTTGTTGAGAGTGTACACTATCAATGGCCGAGATTCTTGGTTGTTGAGTGTGCACCCTCAACGGCCGAGAGAAAACTCTTAGTCATTGAGGGTGCACACCTTGATGGCCAAGAGTATCCCTCTTGGTTGTTGAGGTGTGCACTCCCAACGACCAAGACTCTTGGTGTACCTCTCAGCGGCCAAGAGTGTACACTCTTGACAGCTGAGAGGTACACTCTTGGCCCTCAAGAGTGTACACTGTCAACAGCTGAGTTGAGAGGTACACCCTCAAGCTTGACATTGCAAGTGTGCTTGCAATGGCTGGGAGGATTTCCTCCCGGCCGTTGGGGGCTGTTTTTGTTTCAGATCAACTCCCTCCTCTCCCTTTGGGGGTTTCAATTTTTTTAAAAAAAATTGTTGGGGATCCAACTCCCAAACCGGCTGACAGGTTTGGGGGATTGACTTCCAAAATTGGGGTTTTGGGGGTTTGGGAGTCAATTAGCCAAGCCCCAAAATAAAATTGATTTTTTTTTTCCTCAATTTTCCAAAATTTTCATTTATAATCATTCTTCTAATATGACAATCTTCCTTTCTCTCAGCACTCCCACTCCCCCAAAATGAATATCAAAGCTTTTGAAAAATATCAATTTTATTTTGTATTTTTCAAAAATTTTGAAACTATTTTTTTTGTTTTTATTTTTTAAAATTCATTTTTTGGGGCCTATTATGCACCACCGGACCAAGTCTCATGACTTCAAGTCTGTGTTTTGGAGCTTTGGAATCCAAAATAAGCAGCCACTTTTCCCTGTCTACCCACTGTACAGTGCCTTGACAGAAAAATCCAAACCCTGAGCAAGGGTTTGGAATTGGCGGGTGTCACCCCCTGTGATACCTGAGTACACCATCACCTTAAGCCAACTGATCATTGATGGTCTTCTGTTGACCATCAAATTTCTCTCCAACCTTGCCTCAACATTTGATTTGATGAAGGACAAAATCAACCTTGGTTCCATCATACTAGCCAAGTATGTACATACAACTCAGTTGCATCAATGAGTGCATTTTGACTCATCTCACAATTCAAAGCTGTTCTCAATGAGCCTACAAATAACAAATGCTGTTTGTTTTTTTACTTTTACTATTTTTTATTTTTCCATCATTCATCCTTACAAGAACATGTAGACAAATTAGCCAATTCCAGACACAACAGATGAATTTCAGAGGTTGAGGGTGATAAATGGGTTCAAAGGGAATTTCATTCAAATGAATGGCCAGCCTCAAGCCAAATGCAGGACATTGGACTGAGGGTGCTCGGAGCACGGAGGGACTTGTTTTTTTATAAGTGCTTATATTGAATTCACATACCGCACTATCGTGATGGGCACCCCCGGAGACTCCACTTCCTGAGCCATCCCCCCGGGGGATCACATCGGAGGACCGACCAATTCAGATCCCAAGGTGTGGCAGTGGCGGCCCGGTGTAACTTGACCAACGTCTCATGTGGCCGAAATTTGACTGGAAAACGTAAGCCAAAATCAATCAAGCCGAGCAGGGGAGACACCAGCTGACCCAATCGATTTGACTAAAAAGTTCCAAGCACACCTGCACGTCCGAATTCGCTTATCCGTGTTAGCTACATAGGTCGGAATACCACTAACCAGACCCCGTATGAAATGATTGCCACCTCGGTTTACAATTATCTCGAGCCTTATCTCCCCGCTCAAGCTGCCTATGCGATCTCGATGGTCGTCTTCGTATTTGAGAAATTCTTCATGCCCAAGTTCTACGAAGTATATTCACATGCCAGTCTGGATCCGAAAACGCTGGTCCCGTTCGTGATTTCGGCGATTGCTCTATACCTGTCGATAGTCTCGATCTACCATGCATTCAGAGCGGCTCTCCGGATGGTTTGGTTCTTGCTCAAGTGGAGCATTGCGATCGTCATCCTCTGGTTCATCTTGGGCTTTTTGAACGAAGCAAAAGGAAATTCTCATCGTGGCCAAAGTGCAAGAAATCCTTTCCAGAGCTATCAAGACTCGGCCACCTCATGGTGGAATAGCGCTGCTTGGAGCACATCCAATCTTGATCCGCAAAGCTTCATTGGCCCTCTCCAGATGATCTTCGGCTCAAGCGTAGCATCTCTCTTCGACCCCACCAAATTCTTCGAACAGATGTCAAGTCACTTCCAATCTCACAACAAAGCAACCAACTCATTTCGTCCTGGAAAACCCCAATATTCAAGCTCCTCTTATTCCTCATCCGACTCGACAAAACAAAAGAGTAACTCAAGAAGCTCACGAACCCAGTCCAACGAGAACACTGAAACACCACCCAATGTCCGCGCATTTTTCCAAAAAGTTTGGACGGAAAACCTCCAAAACCCCTTGCAATCCGTCTTCCGCGAACCGCAGAGCCGGAATCAAGGGACAAAATCTCAGAGTAGCCGATCTAGCCACACTACCACCTCACGATGATATTGTTCGTTTTGAAAGGAAACGGACTCACCAATCAAAATGATTATAAACTAGACTCGCTTGATCTTGTGGTCCTTTTCGATTCAGATTGATTCCTTCACATCTGATTGTATCATGTACCGAACCAATCTACTTCTCTCTTCTCGCTTAACACTTTTTTAATCCTGAAAATTTATCACTCCCAAGGCATTCCTGATTGATAAGTAGTGTCATTTCTTTCCCCTTGTTTGATTACGTCGGATCTAGAAAATATCTTTGTCCACGAGTTGATCGTAGTGCTGCTTCTGCATTACTAGCACCTTCATACTGTCTTCGCTTCTACCCACGTGGATTTGCTGTTTGAAACCATGGAAATTAACTCTTAACATAACGATGGCATTGCTACTTTTGAAAACCCTATTAGCCTCGCATAATTTCTATGTATTCGGGCCAACCAACCCGCTTCCAGCACATTGGTTTGGTTTGGTTTGGTTTTTTTTTGTTCGGTTGTATAACACACACACCGACGTGGAATTTCTTCACTGGCGGAGTGTGTATGGGATTCTAAGCAGGACTTCGTTGGACAAGCGGTGGAGGGATGGCTACCTTGATTTGCCTGTCTGGAGCAGGGAAAAAAATGCATTTCAAGCTGCGTCAATCTGCTCCTGGATCTTGCTTCCCCACCCGCCTTTTCAAAAATCCATGGCCGCCATGTTGCCTCTTACTGGCCTGACTATTGCTCAACCCGTTTCAAAAATGAAATCAACAGCTATAGCTGACGGGATAGCAATGGATATCAACATCTCCATCTTCAGCTACTCATCTTGAACAGTCTTCTTTTTTTTTCCTACGCCGACTATGTATGGCACCCGACTGCCAAGCTTGGTCTCCTGTCTTTTCTTCTATGATAATCCTCTTTCAATCAATCAAACCTAGCCCCAAACCACCACCATTTCAGAGTGAACAGCTGGCTCTTGTAATAAGGAGGGGGGGGGGGGGGCTATGCCCTTGATTTCCTGCGCCGGCTCGGTCCCAACGGACCGTATCGCCACAAGCTCGATCGGCCGGCCGCGGCCTGCGGATGAGGGCTATATGTACACCAGCTGTTGAATACATATACAAATTAATGGCGAATGTTCGAGTTTGACTTTGCGATAGGCCCGAGTTTCCTTTCTGTTGTTAGTTTGATGAAGGCATACATACAAAGGCGCAGTATACGCATGGGTTTGATTGGAGGCCTTCTGGTTATGTGTTTCAGACTTATACAACTTCCAGTGAGTAGTATGTAATCATCGTCTTTCTTTTTCGTTCTTTTTTGCTGAGGATGAAGTGTTTGATCGGAGAGTTGGTTGGATGTGCTGTATGACTGGAGTGAGCTTGAGAGAAACACGGAGAGAGTATATTATTGATCGGAGACTGTTTACCAATCAGCTTGTTTTGGGTTAAGGACTAGGTCTATGTAGTGAGCAAGGGGGGGGTGTGAGAGACTAGTCAAGTCTGAGACCCCTCCCTCCTCCATCCCAGCAGCAGCTGCTCCACTTGAAACAACCAACAACCAACCATCCAACCAACCAACAGACAAACAATCCATCATCAGAATAGCTTTATGTAGACTTCTTTATGCAGTCCAGCTCAACCTGGCCACACTCCGTAACCCCTGCCTGAGCTTCCAACCACCCACTCCCGACGATGGTCAGCCCCAACTTCCCCGTGCCCGAACGCATCCCAGGTCAGCTCATCAGCGATCATCAGCATCTCTACTTCCTCAAACAACATCTTGCCACCCTCTGTGGTCTTCGCGGTGCTCAAAAGTCGGCCAGATCTCTCTGGCGATCTGACTCTTTATAATCATTCAATATCCCTTGTCTCACTTTCTACTATCCTTCTGCTCCAGATTCCCGGGCTCTCAACCCGTCAGTTTCACTCAGAAGTCCTTGGAATTGTTGGAAACTGAAGAGTTGAGTTTCATATCTTACATCCTCATCCTTTTTTTTGTTATGGTCAAGAGGAATGTAAAATGAAGAAAAGTAAAAACTGATCATTTATGCAAAAACTTCTGTCCCCTTCAATTTTTTTTTTTTTTTTTTTCAAAAAGTTTCTGGGTATGTGAAAAATCCGATGGAGTTCGAGTGATGGTATTAATAGTAGTCAAAGGGACCGCCCAAGGCCCAGTGCAAGAAGTCTACTTTGTAAGCCTCCCTTGACAGAAGCCCATGATTCTCAAGACTTTGATTCACTCGGATTGCTGAGCCCATGCATGGTCAATTTGTGTGTGTTCTTCTAAGATCGACCGGAAAGACGAGTTCTTCCTGATCGAGAACATCACCTTTCCTCACTTCGAAAACCCCAATCGACTGCTCAAAGACACTATCCTCGATGGCGAACTGGTTATCGATGTCGACCCAAAAACAGGCCATGTAACCTCCCTCTCCCTCTCTCTCTCTTTCCTAACCGGGAAGTGATAACAAATTCTTGGCCGTTTTGCTGAGCCTGCTTGTTTTTAACGTAATATAGCAACAATTGCGCTTCTTAGCATTCGATTGCATTGTATGGGAAGCAAATAATCTCATGATGCGACCTCTCATGAACCGATACGGCGTCAGTTCATTTGTAGACCCCCTTGACTAATTTTCGTAAACAATCGCTGATTCTCTCCTCTCTTTTGGCATCACCATCTTCTTCCGAACTTGTTTGTTTTTGACATGAAATCTAGAGATTAAAAGATTGGGTGATAGCCCCACTGAAGAGGCTGATCGGGATCCAGCCCCAACTACGAGACAAGATGCCCTTTGAGTTCAGTGCTTTCTTCAGTTCATCCTTATCTTGTCCCGTCACTCGGACTGACTGACGAGTATCTCTGTGATCATTCGTAGTGTCCAGCTGAAGACGATGGAACTCGCTTATGGGATCGATAAAGTGCTCCATTACGATCTGCCCAAACTCACGCACGGAAACGATGGGCTGATCTTCACTAGCGCGACGGCGCCTTATCGGATAGGAACGGACCCCAAAATGTAAGTGTTCCGAAGTTTCTTGCCAATCAAAACACATATCATCCCCCTCCAAAACAAAGACAATAACTGACGTGGGATTTTTTTTTCAGATTGAAATGGAAACCACCATCGGAAAACTCGATCGATTTCCGTCTCGAACTCAGGTTCCCCCCTCTTCCAGACGACCCTACAGAGGCAGACTTTTATGCCAAGCCGTTGTTTGTGTTGATGATGAATTGCGGGAAAGAGGGCGAACAGTTCTTCGATACACTTGAGATGACTGATGAGGAATGGATCGAGTTGAGTGGTTAATTCCTTCTAACCCTCGATCATGTTGCGACTCTTTTTTTTTGTCAAAACTCACTGGCAACTGATTCGTCTAAAAAAAATTACTGACACAAAATTGGGCATTTGTTTTCCTCACTGATTGATTAACCCCACTACAGACGAAAAGAAAGACGAGAGCAGCTTGATAATAGAGTCGTGGAAGTGGTCTGGGATGCCTCACGGAACACATGGAAAATATTAAGATTCAGGGATGACAAGAAGAATGGGAATTATCGGGCTGTTGTTTTCTCGATCCTTGACAGCATTCGCGATGGAGTTGAAGCACCAGAAGTGATTATAATTCCCGATCTTCCCTTGATGTGTGTTTTAGTTTTATACATGAAAATTGATTCAGAAGCTTGCCATTTTTTGTTCTCTCCCTCCCTTGATCCAGCTGAGCAAGCGGTCAGTCAGGATCCGTAAGGCCTGGAAGGCTCGAGCACAGGGCCAAAGTTCGACCCCACAAGGGTCTGGAAGTAAATCACCACCACGAGGCCAACAGCAACAGGACCACAACAACAACCATTCGAAACCATCAGCCTCTAAATCATCACCCCGGAACTCGAAAGCATCCCAAAGCAAATCACCCCCTCATTCTCGTCAATCGGCTCCCCCTCCTGCTGCTTCAGGAGGGTCAGCTCCTCCTCCCCCTAAAGTTGTCGCGCCTTCCACTGTCCCTATTCAAATCGTCGGCGGGAATCCTAGAACTAAAGGCAAGAAGAAAAAAATCACTTTGGCTCAGGTCGGCTCGGTTGCGGCCACTATGAAAAGAATTTGATCCTCCGTCCTCCAACGCCCCCCCGTTTGTTTACAGCAATGGTATCTCTTAATCGATTTCCTCCCCCCTATGCAGCACTATATATATAAGTTTGATTCCTGTTTATGCTTTGTTTTGTTAAAAAAAATCACATGTGATTAGGTTTTGTTTTTTTTTTTCGTTTTTTTAATGGGTTTTGGGTTAATCTGTCTTTAAATCTTTTGGGGGGTTCCTTCGGTACACAGACCGATTGAGTTATCATTTATCATTTATCATATATCCTTCTTTCTCTTCTTGACAACTAAAAGGATGCTTATAAAGGTTTCAAGCATCCTACAGATTAATTAATCTTAAGAAATCCAACTCTGATGAAGAATGTCTTTTAAACCCGTTATGCCATGGTAGGTAAACATGAAATCCCGAGGACCCTTTATGACGCGGACTTGAGGTGGCCTGTTGAGCCATTGTCATCATGCAACTGGCCGAACGCCCGTCATGACCACACCGATCAAAAACTGAATCCCGGTTCCATTAGTTGTGTCAAAGACTGAAGGCGCTGTAGATTTGTGTTCCGGTTTCCCTGGTACTGATGTGCCGAGGCCTGCCGAAGCCTCCTTGGGGGGGGGGAGCCCTCCGAGACAGCGTCCCTCCGAAGACGCGGCAGTTCATTAAGTTTAGTTGGCGGAGATGCTTGATGGCTTTCCCTCTTAATTCCAGTTCCATTCATCTATCTCAATTTTCACTTCGGAAGCATGAGGTGCACATACAGCCCTTGTTTTGCCCCAGTTGGTGGCTCACATTAGTGAGCGAAATATGAATGCTTCTCAGCATTTCTCCGCCCCGATTTATGTATGAATTAGCCATCCGTGCTTGAAGCGCCCTCCGGCTGCCGTGATCATACGCAAGCAGTAATTACCTAGGCTGTATGTACCCAAGTTGCGGTCGAGCTGTACATAGGCCTCTCTTGAGTCGAGTGAAATTGTAGGATACATCTTACCGGCACGATACGGTGGAGGAGGGCTTGAATGAATCGGATCCTGGTCAACTTGCGTGCCCACTAAATTAAGATCTCGCTATCACGGCCACGCAACAGTTCCAGGGATTCTCTATAAAGGAAGGGCCAATGGACTCGCTTTGCCCCTCACCAACAACCGTCAAAGTGCTCAGGATTTGTTGAACCCTTCGGTAAGTCTCAATCCGGCCATATAACATCTTTATGATTTATTCCCAGGTTTTCATCAGCCCACATCCACAAGACAAATATCCAAAATATTGATGTGGTTGAATCTATGTACTATATTTAGCAATCACTCCGATCAATCAATCAATCAAGCAATCATGAAGTTCAGCCTATCGATCATCGCCTTGACTGTCTCCTTTGTCGCGTTACTCGTCCATGCTAACGAGGACGGTTTGATCAACATTCCGCCGTGTTCGGCCAATGCCAAATTCTGTGAACACGGAGCTCATTGTCAGTATCCTGGCTCCACAGCAAGTAAGTCCACATCCTTTTTTCATATGGGTCCGTAAAAAAACGTGAAACTGATCAACTGATTTCTATGTTGTTTTTGTTTACCTCGGTTTTTTTTTGTTTCTGATAAATTTTATTATATTTTATGTTGATTTGATTTGATTTTTTATCTTGGTTTACAAAGCTTTCAAAGCTAACGTAATAGGGGACCCTCAATGCAACAGATTCGCATGCCCGGGTACTGCCAACATCTTTTGCAATTAGCCTCCTCCCTGCAAGCGACTTTATATAAAGAAGAATTATCCTCCATATATATTTATATATATCTTTTGTCAACATCCAATCATATCATATCATGCTGGAACAGTTTAATTATCCATTGCCTTTAAGATCTCGCAATCTATGAGTATTGTCCCACTTTTCCTCCTACATGATTCATCCAGATGCTCATTATCAATCCCAGTTAGCTGACTGGACGGGCAAAGAACTGTGATCGCGTTGCTCTTCTGTCCATTTCAATATTTGGTCCATCTTGCATGTTATTACCATTGGCCCGGCTCTCCCCTTCATCGGCTTCACGCGAGCCGATACTGCCACAGTTACAGAAAGCTCTGATTTCCGAGCCGATGCCGAGCGAAATCGGGCCGGGTGAGCTGGGCAAGAATAAACCTCATCCTCCAAGTCAAACGTCTTACCGGAACCCGTACGGGACAGTCGAGGTGGAGGAAAGTTCATCCTCCGCTTTGTCTGGACGCTCCACATAGTCTCACGAGTCACAGATATCAAAGGAGTAATCAGTTCCAAGTGTCACCAGAGCAGCTCATCAATAAAGCGTATTCCTGGTGGAGCCCAAATTTCTTCCACGCAGTCGCGATTAATACCTGTTCTTTTTCTCCGTCGCACCTATCGTATCTTGGAACCTAAGCCCAAAGTGGTTTGCTTCTGGCCGGCCTGCAGGAAGGCCCTTCTGTCTATTGAGAATGCACTCCACCATCAAGTCTTGATGACTGCAATTAAAACCCTTCCAGCCATCTGCTTGGTCTAAATCATATCATAGGAGCTGCGAGTGAGCTTCTCTGACAGCAGTAAATCTAGTGTGCAGCCCCCCACCCCAATTCGTTTGGGTTGAGGAGAAAGTCTGCCGGTAAATAATTGCCGAACAAACTTGAGCGCAGCCCAAACATGCTTCTTGTGGTGTGTTTGAGCCTGGTGTACATTGGAAGACTGTTTTAATGCTTCGTATGAAAGCCAATTCACTCCGGAGAATGGGCGTGATCTGTTTGTGGTTTGGGTATGTCATAGACTGTCATAGTAGACTTAAGCCTCAGGAATTTCAATGCCCCTCGTGTTGTTCACATATTCTTTATGATCAACAGCCTTGTAAAATGACTTTTGAGGATAAAATCAAGTGATAGATGAAAGGAGCTATAATTATATCCGGTCCGACTTGGCTTTGTGCCCGGATTCAAATTTCAGAGTGAAGTGTCCGCACTGCAGGTCGCGATGGATTCCCCAGAAACCGAGCCACGTGTGGCCCTCGACTCCTGGCATGAGACTTGGCTGACATCATACCACCCCGCCTTTTCGTATTGTATTGTAGACCTTGGATACCAATTGCAACATAAATAATTCCCTTCAAGGTCTCCTGAACACTCTAGATAAAATATCGGAAATTGATACCACTCCATGCTTGGTCAGTCTGGCCTCTCGATCGATTTTCTGCTTATTCTCAGTTGCCGAATCTCAATTGATGTTCTCGTCCGAGTTGTTTCTTCGTGGGTTTGATCGACTGCGAATGATTGGATCCTTCATACAACTGTAATAGTCGTTGGACTAACGGGTGGCATCGCCTCCGGTATGATTCACAATGATCTGCTGTATTTTCATTGGACACGCATCTCAGGCTTCTTTGTAATGATAGGAGCACGTAAACTGATCCAGACTCAATGCTTGTTGTAACCCTCCTATGCCCCCAGGAAAATCGACTGTTTCCGGTCTGCTGAAATCATACTGTGTGCCGGTCATTGATTTGGATCATCTTGCTCGGGAAGTGGTCGAACCAGGCTCGAGTGCACTGACTGCGATCCAAAACCACTTCTCGAGCCAGCCGGATATCGTCTATTCCCACAACGGTTGCCTAAATCGAGAACGACTCGGTGAAATCATCTTCAACAATCCGAGCGAACGACAATGGCTCAATAACCTACTCCATCCAAGGATCCGTCGCTTGATGGTCCTCAGATTGATCAAGCTGTGGCTCACCGGGACCCAAGTTTGCGTGATCGACTCTCCATTATTGATCGAAACTGGAATGTGGAAGTTTTGCGGAAAGGTGGTGATCGTCTATTGGTCAGTCTTTCAAGCGATTCTTCGTTTCCTCTCAGTTTGAAGTTGTTTGATAGGAACCTCTGTCCGGTTCATGGGGTGGGTTTTAATTAAGCTCCGAAGAGCTCCAACTGCAACGACTCCAAAGCCGGAATGGGCTGAGTAGAGCTGAAGCGAAATCCCGAATCGCAGCCCAAATGGGACTCAAATCCAAACTATCATATGCCGACCACATCGTAGACAACTCGGGACAACTGATCGACTTGGAGAGACAAGTCGAACGATTGGTATGGAAGTTTGAGAAGTCGGTTAACAAGTTCATCTGGCTGGTCGGCTGGTTGGTCCCTCCGGTCGGACTCTTGAACGGCCTACTGACGATCTTCTGGAGAGTCTGGCTCAAACCTTTCGGCAAATCACATCGGAAAAAAGCAAGATCTCCTCGTCCCCCTTCAACTGCCTATCCTTCTCATTAAGAACAAAATCATCATTCATCTTTATCTTTTCAATCAAGCCCGTTTTCTCATTCTCAAGCCTCTCCACTCAATCAAATGTATGTCTAAATTCTTTCTTGTAATTCAAACGAAATACCCTCCCCTATTTCAAGTGTTCAATATCTCCAGAAGAGACGTTTGTTAAGCCGAAAAATGGAAGTGCAAATGAAGAAAACACTCATGTCAAAAAAAGATATCGAAATTTTCAAAGTCGTCCGAATTGAGAAACTGGAGCTCCAGCTTTCAAATTACGGATCACGCAATGGAAATATATGTTCAAGGAGAGTAAGCAAAGGCTAATGATGGAGGAAGCTTTCATCTCTCACCCGTACTCAATTCAAGAATCAGACTATGCCCTCTGCAGCTAGTGTTTCACTTCATGTCCTCAGGTCTGAAGTCAGGAGATACTGGAAAGCTGTTTGCATGTTTGTCTATGAGCGCCAGTGTTGTACAGTCTCCTCCCAGATGTTTATAGCCATCTGTTTTGAGCTCCACACCAGGAACTCAAGAATTTCAAGTCTCAAGACTTTGTGGAATGGTGGGAAATGGGTCTCAAAGAATGAATATGAAAAAATAATGATGATAAACAAGATTATGAAAGTTGTAAAAAGTAAAAACAAGAAAATCACAAAAACTGACAGCTCTGATATTTCTTTCAGGAAAAGATGAAATCTCTCAAGTGATAGTATGAGATGGGGAATGAATAATAAGAAGTTAAAATTTGGATAAAAATGACTACTTGGTGGTTTAAAAAGGGTGCCTAGGGGGTCATTCATCAAGAAATGTGGAATTCTGGTACTGCAATCTACTAATTTTGACTGCAGGGTGTCCACCAACCATGCTCAAACTTTTTTTGGATCAATATTTTTCATTTATAATCATCCTTTTCATGTTCCAAACTTGCCCTCTGTGTGTTCACTTTTCACTCAAACAAAAAATTAAAGTTTTTGAAAAAAGTTGATTTTGTTTTATCTTTTTCACAAATTTCAAACTCTTGTTTGTTCTTATTATTTTTTCATATTCATTCTTTCAAACACATTTTCCATCATTCCACTAACTCTTGTGACTTAAAGCTTTTGGATTCCCAGTGTGGACCTCAAAACAGATGGCTATAAACATCTGGGAGGAGACTGTACTTCACTTACAATCAGGATCTTGTTTAATTGCAGAGTCGCGTGATTTGTAGGTCGTTTTTGCTTCCAGACAAGGAGGCTTATTGCCACATCCAGTCAAATGGTCTAATATATACCATGGGGATAATCACAATGGTTGTAAGAACATTTGAGTCAAAATATAAGATGCAATGCAGTGTTTTTTGAGGAAAATACATTTTGTTTCCACCAGCTTACTGGTACAGAGTCTACAGAAAAAAAAAGCGGTAAAATTTATGAAGACATTTGGCTACATCAGCACTGAACCAGTCGGCAATCAAAACAGGATGATGATGAATCTTGGCGGGGATATCCTCACATTTCAAGAGAAAATAATTGAAACCAGAAACCAACCAGCAAGATTTTTTTTTTTTGCACTAGCTATCAAGGCCCCATTTGGTCACAAATCATGGGGTGTGATTTGGCTAAGGTTTAGCATGGATTTGAAATGTGCAATGTAAAACAATATCATAAGGGCCTGTACCATATGAGATTAAAATCCAATTTTGCAAAATTGATTTTGCTCCAAAGTTCATCTCATCAAAAGTGACTGTGATCAAAAGCCAGTGTTTATCCTGAAAGTTCAAAATTTCAACAAAATTCCTCTCCAACTCTTCAAATGTTTGTGTAAAAGACAGAAAAACATCCAATTTGAAAAATTGGAACCCTATGGTACAGGCCCCAAAACCTTTCACACAAACTTGGGCCAAACCTTGCCTCCAAATTACAAATTACAGCTGGTCAAATTGGGCTTAAATTTAGAGGCTTGGCTAATCGACTCCCCAAAGTTGGAGAGTCGACTCCCAAACCCCCAAAACCCCCGATTTTGGGAGTCAATCCCCCAAACCTGCCAGCAGGTTTGGGAGTCGGATCCCCAATTATTTTCAATAAAAAAAATTGAAACCCCCGAAGGGGGAGGGAGTCGATTCCCCAAAACCCACTGGGTTTTAGGGGTCGTTGAGCCAAAAACAGCCCTCAACGGCCGGGAGGGAATCCTCCCGGCCATTGAGAGCACACTCTCACGCCGTGCCTGAGGGTGTACACTCTCAACAGACGAGAGTGCATACCTCTCGGCCGTTGAGAGTGTACACCCTCAACGGTCAAGAGAGGCTTTCTCTCGATTGCTGAGGGTGTACACTCTCAACAACCGAAAGGATTTATCTTGGCCGTCGAGAATGTACACTCTCAACGACCGAGAGGCATTCTCTCGGCCGTTGAGAGTGAACACTCTCAGCCGTTCTCTCTCAACCGTTGAAAGTGTACACTCTCAACGGCCGAGAGGTATGCACTCTCGGCCGTTGAGAGTGTGCACTCTCAACGGCCAAGAGTGATCTCTTGGTCGTTGAGGGTGCACACCTCAATGACCAAGAGGGTTTCACCCTTGGCCGTTGAGTTGTGCACCCTCAACAGACGAGAGAACACTCTTGGTCGTTGAGTATGCACACCTCAACGGCTGAGAGTGTACCTCTTGGATACACTCTCCACCGTTGAGAGGTATACTCTCGACCCTTGAGAGGTATACTCTTGACCGTTGAGAGGTACACTCTCAACGGCTGTGTACCTCTTAGCGGCCAAGGGTGTACACCCTCAACGACCGAGAGGCTTTCTCTCGGCCGTTGAGAGTGTACACTCTCGACGGCCGAGAGGTATGCACTCTTGTGCGTTGAGCTATCAAGCCCGATGTCGAGAGTGTGCTCTCAATGGCCGGGAGGATTCCCTCCCGGCCGCTGAGGGCTGTTTTTGGCTCGACGACCCCCAAAACCCAGTGGGTTTTGGGGAATCGACTCCCTCCCCCTTCAGGGGTTTCAATTTTTTTTATTGAAAATAATTGGGGATCCGACTCCCAAACCTGCTGGCAGGTTTGGGGGATCGACTCCCAAAATCGGGGGTTTTGGGGGTTTGGGAGTCGACTCTCCAACTTTGGGGAGTCGATTAGCCAAGCCTCTAAATTTATTGTAAAATTTTACCAGAAGACCAGCAAAACAGCATGATCTGCAAAGTGGCTAAAAAGCCAGACATGAACCATCCCAATGTGTTGAACAGTCCCCCAAATTATTCCAGATCCATCCTCAAAAAAATTCTATCAGCAACTTTAAGGGCTGGTACCACAGGATTCAATCTTGAAAATCTGTCATTTTTTCTGTCTAACAAGTGGAGAGATCTGTTCTCTGCTTTTAGGACAAAAACTGCCTATGTGCAATGGTCACGTTTGATGATATGAAAATTTGAGGAAGATAAATTCTGAGAAATTGGATCTTCAAGCCCTATGGTACAGGCCTCCATTGTAACTGCTGTGAACCAGGCTATGTTTGTTCAAATTTGTTACTTTGGAAGGACATGCTAAACTGTATCTGCGGGTGAAAATCAATCAAGATCAATCTTTGACCAGAAAATAGAGTTTAGGACCCGCTTCTAAATCAAGCAATCCAGGCGACAAGAAGTGGCCTCCAGTTGACCATTTTGAAGCGGATTTGAGGGAGGGGACTGGTCGCCTCGCGAGTTCAAACATCGGAGACCCTCGGTAGAGACATCGGCTGACTGTATGCTACTACTGAGGCACGCAATCCTTCAACAGGCCAAGCCACACCACCGCCGTCCAGTAATCGGTAGTTCTTCAACAACTCCGACCCAACCTATGACCCAACACGATCAAAGAGCTTCAAGGACAACACATTACCACTGAACACAAGCCAATCGAAACTCTGTCGGACTATCGGCTCGCCGGATCAGAAAACCGACGCAAGGGCTCCCCCCAAAAATGGGTTATACAACTTACGCTACCGCTTCGGCTTCCGCTTTAACTTTCACGACGGTCTCCCTATATCTTCTCTTCACCAACTCTGGAGAAACATTCAATGTTGGTAGTACGTTGCCCATTCCCGATCTGGATCTCCGTCTCGAACCTATTTTTTTTTCTTTCTGTCTGACAAAAATTAAGGCTGATTATATTTTGATGGGATTTTCGTAGCCTTCCTCGAACAAACGTCTCCACATGTCTGGGCTTTACTTGGAATCGCCTTGAACATCGGGCTGAGTGTGATTGGAGCTGGATGGTCAGTATTCAATCGCTCCTTCCTTGGTCTATACCAGTCTCACGCTCTTCATTCAACCACAGGGGAATTTTCACAACAGGCGTCTCAATTCTCGGAGGCGGTGTTCGCACACCAAGGATTAGAACCAAAAATTTAATCAGTATCATTTTCTGCGAGGTCGTCGGTATATATGGAGTCATAGGTGGTCAGTTTACCATTTTCATATATATTTGATTCCTATTTTTATATCCAGTGACCCACAACTCTTCTGTTCTTAACACTTTCGACACAGCCATTGTCTTCTCTTCCAAGATCGGCGCATTCGCCTCGGCCGAATCACTCTACACAAAGGAGAACTACTACACTGGGTTTTCGTTGTTCTGGGGAGGCTTGATCATGGGTTTCTGCAATCTACTATGCGGGATCGGCGTTGGAATTTCGGGCTCAAATGCCGCCCTAGCCGATGCATCCGATCCCAGTCTGTTCGTCAAGATCTTAGTCATCGAAGTTTTCAGCAGTATCCTTGGCTTGTTTGGCTTGATCAGTGAGTGGTTTATCCTCAGTCTCATTCGATATCCGAGTCCAGTTAGTCTGACTTCCCAATTGATTTTTCGATTCCTAGTTGGTCTACTGGTCTCTGGGAAAGCTGGCGAACTACAATAACATCTTCTACGTTTTCTGGGTTTTACTACTAGTCTTTAACATTCGGGCTACTTATGATCCCTAGAGTTTTATTGTTTGCATTCTATCGAAACTTAATTCTTTATTCGTTGGATTAAATATTCACATGCAAATTGTGTTAGTTCATTTTGTACAAGAAACTCAGATTGTCTTATATTCATTCACAGCTTTCAACTTAAGGTTCCGTATGTTTCAAAACTCTTTCTACCAAGGAGGTGCCTAACACTGCAAAATCTTCTGCAGGAGTTTAGTGGTTGCTGGTAGCCTATTGTATTTCCCTACAAACCCATCCACCTTCAACAACAACAAAATGGTGATTTGATTTTTTGTTAATGTTCTAGACAATCCTACACTTCTTTTATTGCTGGTTTTAAAATGACTTGGAATAAACAAACTCAAGTATCCACACTTTGTTATATTGTTGACAATAATGCTTCACCTCAAATTTATGATTTATCCAATGTTGAACCAACAGGACTATTCAAATCTGACACATAAATGCATAAACATACAATCATAAATAAGTTTTAGCTGGGGCCTGATTACATAATCCCAGCCAAGATGATTGATGATTTTATGTTTGTGAATCTATGCAGTCAACTTTCAACACCAAGCAGGTTAGACCAAAGATTTCATACACTTATATTTATCTTGAGAAATAACTCATGGATCACATGGAGAGAAAGTGCAGCCTCAATCTCATCATGTAACATTTTTTTTTTGTTTTTGGTTGTGCAACTCAAAACCTGTTGAGTCAAATTTTTCAATGTGATAAACCCTGTGAACCAAATTACCAGCAACTGGCATATTGTTCAATCTGGGGTATTGACTCTGGAGTGATGAAATAAATAATTGCTTCACCAATTCCTGATTAATCTGTTTTGCTAATGATGTGTGAACCTGTTTTACTTTGTGCAATCTGTCTGTTGGAGATATATCGAAGGGACTTAGTCAAACGACTCCCAAAATTTGGAGTTCCGACTCCCAAATTTTGGGGACGTCCTGAGGACTGTCTGCGGACAGTCCTCCGGACGTCAGGCCCCCTAATTTTTTTTTCCCCCGTTTTTTGGGAGTCGGACCTCCAAACCCTTTGATTGGTTTGGGAGTCGACTCCCTAATAAAATAATACTTATTTTTATTTTTTTTTCGAACCCCCTCGGGGGTTTTTGGGAGTCGATACTCCAAAACCCCATGGGGGTTTGGAGTCGGCGCTGAAAAAAAAAAAAAAAGAAAAGGAACGGCCGGGAGAATTTCTCCCGGCCGTTGACAGGCTGCACTCTCAACGGCCGGGACGATTCCTCCCGGCTGTTGAGAGGTTACACTCTCGGCGGCCGAGAGAAACCCTCTCGGCCGTTGAGAGGTTACACTCTCGGCGACCGAGAGAAACCCTC